CTTCATTTCCATTCTTGCCCTCAGCCTCGCTCACGTTCCCTCCTTTGTTGTTCAGTTCCTAAGTCCTATCTGACTCTTTGGGACCCTGTGGACTGTAGCACGCCAGGTTTCCCTGTCCTTTGCTGTCTCCCAGAGTTTGCTCAGACTCATGTCCATTGAGTCAGTGATGCCATCTAACCACCTCATCCTCTGTCACCGCCTTCTTCTCCTGCCTTCAATCTGTCCCAGCATCAGGGTCCTTTCCAGTGAGTTGGCACTTTGTATCAAGTGGCCGAAGTATTGCAGCTTCAGCTGCAGCATCAGTCCTGATGAATTCAGGGTTGATTTGCTTTAGGATTGACTGGCTTGATCTCCCTAGCCTATAGCCATTGATCCTCCCTCACCCAGTCCCTGCAGACCTTTCCAGCTCCAACCCACCTCTGCCTCACTTTCCTTCTCTCTCCTGTTCTAGGAACCACATTCTGCTTACCTCCCCAGACACACCAGAATGTTCCAAATCTCTTTGCTATTGCTCTGCTTGAAGCACCTTTTCCTCCTCTTGTCCCCCTGCGAAGTGGCTAATACAACTCAGACTGTCTCCTCCTCCAAGAAGTCCAGAGAGCATTCAGTGTTCTCTCCCATGAGCTATTCTGTACCTTGTAACTGTTATACCCACCTGCGTATAGTGACATGTTTGTTTCTGTGTCTTGGCATCTTCACCATCTACCATGGTACCTGGCACAGGGCAGGGTCTCAGTGACTGCGTGCTGAGAATCGGGACATCACATCAGGACAGCAATGTCATCAAAAACCCTCTTTCGGGGCCCAGCTCTAGTACTTCCTAGCTGTGTTACCTCGGGCAAATCACTGTAGCTTCCTAAGCTTCCGTTTTTCATCCATAGGAGTGACAGCACCTACCTCCTAGGATTGTCATAAAAATGGGATTAAGGACTTCCTTTGTGGCTCAGACGGTGAAGCGTCTACCTACAATGCAGGAGACCTGGGTTCAGTCCCTGGGTCGGGAAGATCTGGAGAAGGAAATGGCAACCCACTCCAGTATTCTTGCCTGGAAAATCCCATGGACGGAGGAGCCTGGTAGGCTACAGTCCGTGGGGTCACAAAGAGTCGGACACGACTGAGCGACTTCACTCACTCACTCCTGTGCTACCGGGAGGGCAGCCTCTGGCATACAGCAGCTACCGCTGCTACCTTGATCTCTGGGGTTTCCTCATCTTTTCTCCACTGGAGAAGGCAGAGTTCACAGGCCCCCAGCAGAGCACATGGGGCTTCCTGGCCCAGAATCCCACACCTCTGCTCGCTGCCTGATAGGCAAGAGGGGAAAGAAATACAAGACACAGGCTTACTGGGAGTATAAAAATAGGACTTTTTTTTCCTCATAATCACATCAATTATCAAAGAAAGAAACAGTATGTAACAAAAATACAAAGCTCTGGTGGATTTTTTTGTCTGTTTTTTTTTTTTTTTTTGCCCCTCATGTTGTTTTTTTTTTAACAGGGCGAAAACGATGCAGGGTCGTGGATCAGAGAGAAACCTGCTCCAAACGCGTGTCTCCTGCATGGGCAGGAGACGTGGCTTACAGCTGAGCCATCCCAGGGAAGCCCCAGAGCATTTTTTTTTTTTTTTTTTTTTGCCCCTCACCCGTCCCTCCCACACAGCTGCTTCCCAGGGAGCCCCTGGCTGAAGCCTGAATGCTGTCCCTGGGTCGCCCTGGGGCTCAGGAGAACCGGTGGTCTAGGTCCCTCTGGGAGCTGGCCGAGTATGAGTAGGCCTTGCCCAATACCAGGCGGTCCCGAAGCAGCTTGAAGAAGGCGTAGTAGTTGCTGAAGAGGATTAGCGCCAGTGAGATGGTCTGGTGCCACTTGTCGGAGGACATTAAGGAGTATAGCTGGTAGACGATGACCGCGCCCTCCAGCAGCAAAAGGATGTTCAGGATCCGCAGGGGTTTGCTGAAAAAGAACTGCCCAGGAAAAGAGTAGGCATGGACTGGAAAGCAGGCTCCAGAAATCTGCCTCTTGGATGGGGGTTCTGGGTGGCCAAGGAAGGGGTCAAGCTCTTGGGGCCCCATGCAGACTTGGGTGGGGAGCTGGCCTTCGTAGGGTTGGCTATGGACCTTGTCATCTCTCTGCCTTTATTTGTGGGCCACTGCCTCCCTGGGACTTCCTGGTGGTCCACTGGTTAAAACTCCACCTTCCAATGCAGGGGGCATGGGTTTGATCCTGGTCAGAGAACTAAGGTCCCACATGCCGTGGGGTATAGTCAAAAAAACAAAGACTACTGCTTCCTACATGGTTGTTTAAGATCCTGATCAACTTCTACCTTTTCCCAGCAGCTTTTCTTGAGGGGTCTGGCTTGCCCTATCAGACTTTTCTGGTTGAAAAGCAGTATGTGACCTTCTGGGTACTGTCAGGCCTGAACAATGTAGTATCTTATCACAGACATGTAAAGTTATTATAGACTCCACAGCCTGAGTCCCACTATTGTGTGTGCAGCATTCCTCAGCTGGGCCAGAAGCTTCCAGGGAACACGGACACATATCACTCTTACCTGATGTCCACAGAGCAAGGTAGAATATAGAGGACTAAGAAAAATTTTCTGATTAATTTAAAAGAACGATCAATGTCCAGGGTTCATGATTCTGCAGGGGCCAAGGTACCTAAACCTCAAGAACTAATTATAGGATGGAAGGAGGAGTGGCAAGGAACAGGAGTCCAAGAGACCAGCAAGCCAGGCTCAGCTCTCTACCTGACGGTTGCAGGACCTTGGGCAGGTCCCCTTCCTGTCTGGACCTCAGGTTTCTCTACTGGGAAATAAAGAGATAAGCCCAGATCTATGGTTTTTCAAACTGTGTTCCTTGGAGCCTCAGGTTCCAGTGGGGTCTCCTAGGAGCTACTGCAGTGTTGAGCGGGACATGAAAGGAGTTTCAACCCTTTCAAGCAGAGCTGCACTGAGAGGTCCTATATACTGAACTTTAGTTTGACTGTGTTGGAAGAAAGAATTCTGACAGTAAAATAAGTAAATGAAATTCACCAGCCTAGATAATTTTGAGCAGTCCTTTCCATTGTGCTGAGTCTGTGAGTCAATATCATTAGTTCCCAGGTTTCCCAGTAAGGCATCCTTGGAACAAGTTAAACTCTCTGAGTCAATTTCATACCTAAAAACTGGGACAGCCCTGGTACTTCTCTCTTACACAGGGTTCTGATGTAGCCTGAACGGGAGGGTACATGGGAAGTGCTGACCACAGGGCCTGGCACACAGTAAGAAGGATGACTGTAAGGATTTTCACCACCAAGAACCCCTCCTTTTGTTGTATTATCTTCTCCATCCAAAGTTTTCAAAGATCTGGTGGTACCTAGTGTGCTGTGGTGGTAAGTGATCATCTGTATGACTGTCCTTGGGTTGCACGTGTGCAGTGTCTTCTTTTGGACTCGGGAACTACGGAAAATAGCCTTCTCTTGCTATGATATCACCTTCCTGCCCAGCTGGCCCTCCTGCTCTCTAGATCAGGCACCACCCCTCCTTCCCAGCGGAGGAGACTCACGTGGAACCGGAAGTGGGAGACGTCGGAGGGAATGGCCACGTTGTAGTGGCCCACTGCTTTGTAGACATTCTTGCTGTGCTTCACCAGCACTCCCTGTGGCCACATGCATTCTTCAGTCCACCTGGAGGCACAGTCCAACAGAACCCCTTATGTCCAGCTCACCCACACGAGGGGACGTGGACAGACTGGGCATGGGGGGACCGCCAGGGCTCTATTCCCATTTCTATCACGTAGCTACCACGTAGCTACAGTGACTTTCCTTTTCTGGGTCTTAGCCACCTCTTCTGTAAAATGAGTTAAGAATCACAAGAAATTCACTGCACTGCAGTCAGAAGGTTTAGGGCTGACATTCATGTCTCTGACAGATCTCAAGAAAACCCTTTCCCCTCTTCCCTCGGGTCATCTTCTTCATCTGGCCTCCAGTCAGCCTCACCTCGAGCCTCCAGGCAGTCCACTGCACAACTAACTGCCCGAGTGGTCTTTGTAAAACACCAAGCTGAGCCTGACTAGTTCCTCCTCAAAACCCTTTGAAGGCTTTCCAGTGCCATTGGAGTCAAGCCCCAAGGATGTGTTCTGGCCTCCGAGGGAGGCCTTCCATGACCCCTACCACACAGCGCCTGCTCAAGCTGCCCAGAACTGCCTCTAGTTCCTCCAGCATACCTGACTGCTCCTGTCTCTGTCTCTTCATCAAGGTGCTCCCTCTAGCTGCAATGCCCTTCCTGACACCTTATCCTTCTGGCAGGCTCTATGTCATCTTTCAAAACCCAATATCCTTCAGAAAGTCTTTGTCAAACTCCCCCCAGAGTTCAGCATCCTTTAAATGGTCCCTGAAGCTACTGCTATTGGTCCACTTTCCCCAATGTGTTGTCATTTATTTATTTCCCTGCATCCCTCACTAGTCTGGGAGGGCTGAAGGGAAGGGATGGCGTCTAGCTCATGTCTGTGTCCTCAGAGCATGCCACACAAGAGGCCTGGCGCAGAGAGGCCCCCACAGGGCATGTGAAGAAGGTTGTGAGACCAGTGAATTTTCTTCCAGTGTTCTTTGAGATCTCCTAGGAACTCCAAGGGTCCTGGGCCAGTGAACTGAGAATCACTGTCTCCAAGAAGCTCAATCTCATTGAGCTATTGATTCTTTCATTCAAAAAAGTGACTGGGAAGACCCAGAGGAATCGGGTGGAGAGGGAGGTGGGAGGGGGGATCAGGATGGGGAATACATGTAAATCCATGGCTGATTCATGTCAATGTATGACAAAAACCACTACAATACTGTAAAGTAATTAGCCTCCAACTAATAAAAATAAGTGGAAAAAAAAAAAAAAGTGACCATGTCATTTCTCAGGTTTGATCCCTGGGTTGGGAAGATTCCCTGGAGTAGGAAATGGCAACCAGCTCCAGTATTCTAACCTAGAAAATTCCATGGACAGAGGAGCCTGGAGGGCTACAGTCTAAGGGGCCACAAAAGAGTCAGACACAGCTGAGTGCACACCCCCCCCCATGTCATATGTAACAACATGGATGAAACTCACAGAGAATACGCAGAATGAAAGAAGCTGGGCCCAAGAACATCTATTCTATGATTTACTTTATGTGTAGTTGTAGAATAGAGAAAACTAGCCTATGGTGAAATGAAGTGAAAGATGGTTGCCAGAGGGAGGGGTCTTTGGGAAGGGCCAGGAGGAAATTTTCTGATTGGCTGGAAATGTTCTGTATCTTGACAGGGGATGGGTTGCATGGTGTGTATGACTTTCATCAAAACTCAGAGAATTGTGTACTTTTTAAGACTTATACATTTCAACTATAAGGAAATTTTACCTTAAAAAAAAAAATATACACAAAAAACACAAAAAATCTGCTGAGGACCTATCACAAGCCAGGCATTTTGCCAAAAGTGAGGAGATGGCCAAGTGCTTGATAGACAAGGACCCTGACCTCCAAGAGCTTTAGTCCTGGAATGACGGGCAAGTAACCAAGCAAACACAGCAGAAAGTGTTAGGTGCAATGCTCATGGTTCTGCGGGGGTGGGGGAGCGCAGGCAGAGCAGGGACACTGAACCTATCCTGCAGGTGGTAGGGAAAGGGTTCCTGGAGGAAGCCATGTGCTAAAGGATGAATAGGAATTAAGCAGGAAAAGAAAGTTGGAAAGGCCATTTAAGGCAAAACATGTATTAAATGCAAAAGTCTGAGTATGGAAGTACAGACAGAATTTGAGGATCTGAAGAGACTGGGTCTGGCTGGAGCAGAAGATGAGTCGGGTTAGGGGAAGAGATGAGGCAGAAAAGGCTGGCAGGAGCCAGTTCATCATGAGATGCCATGTGAAGGAGCTTGGATCTTACCTGCAGACCATGGTGAGCCATGGACAGGTTTATCCTTGTATTTAGCCATGTACTATCTTTCTCTTTCCCTTTCCTCTCAGAACCTTAAGCCTAAGTCAAGCCCCACTTCGGCCCATTTGGCAACACCCATCTGCTTTCTGGACCACCTGGATAGAGGAGGGACCTTGACTGGCACGGAGGGCCAACATTAGGAGGCTGAGCCTCTGTGGCCTCCCTCCACAAACCTGTCCTGGGGGCCTCTTCTCCGCCAGGCCTTGTGCTGGGCCCAAGACTCAGATGTGATACAGGGGTGGTCCCAGCCTTGAGGAGCTTCCAGTCTAATGTGGGAATACAGACAGGAAAATTAGCATAACTGGGGTGAAAATACTATGAAGAAGGGCTGTAGAAATGCTAAGCACCAGCAAGGACGTCAGGCTGAGGGGAGGACAGCCCGGCCCCTCGGGGCTCCTGAGCATGGTGACATTGGCCTCTGCTCTGACTGCAATGCCATCCTGCAGCTGGGCCTCTCACCCCACTCAACTAACTCTTCGGGTACACGGTTATCACCCGCACCAGCCTGAGTACTCCTCAAGGGGTCTCATCTTAGCTCTTTCCTCCTGCAGCTTTCTTCCCTGGCCAGGTTATGTCATCATAAAACAGAGCACCATATCCTGTTAATCAAACTGAGGTTTCTAAGGCACACCTTGGAATGGGTCCCTCCACTGTTCAAAACCTCTCTCCCTAGAGGTCAAAGTCCAAGCTCCTCTGTCCAATACACAGAACCAAATCTGGGACGGATTAGGTAGATGCAACGCTTGCTGAAAGAGTAGATGAGCCAATGACTGGATGGATGAGTGAGTGAAAGGAGGGAAGTAATGAATGAATGAATGAATGCATGAACAGATCAGCCAATGAGTACATAAGTCAGCGAATGAGAAAGTCGACAAGTCTATGAATTTACCACCTGGCCCCTTCCTATCTCCAAGACACTGCAAGTTACCCAGGGACAGGGGGCATGTCCTTCCTGGGCCCTGCCATATTCTACTCTGGCCACGAGGCCTAGCATATAAGACATGCTCAGTAACTATTTGCTGACTGACTGAATGAGTTGATGGCGAGGGCCGGGGGGCGCTGGGGTGGGGCAGAGAAGGGCAGACTCACGGGTGCTGTAGCACGTTGGAGCACAGCGCCGGGTCCACCTTCTGCCAGCAGCCCAGGTGGGCAGCGGCCTTGTGCAGCAGGTCGCAGTAGCTGGCAGGCAGCAGGTGCTGCATGAGGATCACCGAGGTGCTGATGGACACCAGCAGGAAGAGCTCGCAGGACCAGCGCTTGTCATAGTAATGTGTGTTCTGGAGGCAGCGGGAGGTGAGTGAGACCACAGACACCCATAACGGCCTCACGCCCTCCCCTTCCCTGACTCCCTCTTTCCTCAGAGATCAGGACAGCCCTAGACAGACCTCGGGGTGGCCTGAGACCAAAGATCAAACACCTAACAAAGGCAGCTTAATCATGGACTTAAACCCTGTGCCCACTACTCAGCTTTCTCTTTCTTTTTGGGGGGGTAAGAAGTAGATATATTCAGAGAGAAATACACTTCACAGAATCTGGGCCAACCTAGAAGGCAAGAGGCCTCAGTTTTCTACAAAGAAAAATCACTCTGAGCCAGAGAACAGGTCCTGGGATTCAATAGAAATGAGCTCAAATCTTGGCTCCACTGCTTAGTCACTATGTGACCTTGGGCAAGTCACTTTACTTCTCTGCAGTCTAGCTTCCTCATCTGGCAAATGAGGATAGGAGTAGCCACCTCTGAGAGGCGTGAGGAGGATACTACTACTCAAGAAAGCTCTAGCATGTTGCCCAATAGATGTGAAGTCTTCTCAACCCCCAATCTGTCAGTGCAGCCCGTCCTGGGAGAAATGCAATGAGCTGGCTGGGGATATGCCTTCCCAGATGGCCACACAAGGCAGAGAGGGAGCATGGGCTTTTGGAGTCATCCAGATCTGGATGCATCTGGTTTTTGGACTTAATAATAGAGAGGGACGCTGCGATGTGCCTGGGCCAAAACAGCCACACTGGAATACAAAGTGACTCCTTTGTATACAAAGTATACTCCTTTTCAAGTATCATGAACAACATGCTGTGGGCCCCTCACTGGCTGGGTGACCTTGTGCGGCCACCTTCGTTCAGCAAGCCTTGTCTTTTCCATTCTGAAATGCAGGCATTTGGGATCGACATGTATGTCCTGCTATATATTTAAAATGGATAACCCACAAGGACCTACCGGGTAGCACAGGGAACTCTGCTCAATGTTATGTGGCAGCCTGGATGGGAGGGGAGTTTGGGACAGAAGGGATACATGTGTATGTATGGCTGAGTCCCTTTGCTGTCCCCCTGAAACAGTCACATCATTGTTAATTCACTATACTCTAATACAAAAGAAAAAGTTAAAAATTTTATATATAAATAAATAAAAGGGAGGCAGTAGTCACTCTGGCCCTCGAGAGAACAGATGGAAATCATCAAGAGCAGCAGCCTCGTTTCTGCAAGCAGGAGGGCTCCTGGAGCACAGGCAGCAGGTGAGGCCCCGGGCAGACCCCCCCCGTCCCTGGGTTAAGCTACGCACCTTCACGAACCAGACAGGCACAAAGGCCACGTAATAGGCGCTCAGCATGGCGCTGACCAGCACCTCCTTCATGCGCCAGTTGAAGTCCATCTTGAGGAACTCCACCTCACTGCGGATGAGGCTGGGTGACAGGCAGCAGGCGTGGGTGGGCATGGCCTCCGGGCCGTACAGCTGCTTCGTGTGCTGCTTCCACGTCTCCCGCAGTGTCAGCAGGTAGTCCCGGCTCCGCGCCAGGCCACTGACCGCCTCCCGGGGACCCATGGAGGCCATGTGGCTGAAGAGGTTTGTCTTGCGGAGGTCACAGTTCAGCTGCAGGAACGGAATGTACATCCCAAACCTGCTGGGGAAGACAGTGGTGAGGGCAGGCCTGGCCATGGGCCAGGATCCCAACCTTTAACCACCCAGGGAATCTTCTTTCCTCCTGGGCTTTAGCTGTCCTGGCTGCTCCGAGGGGAGACTCTACCTGTCCTTCTAGCTAGCCAGCCTCCCAGCCAATGATCAGTCATTCAACACCAGTGTTAGCCCTGAGCAGGGAATAAGCCCTGTATGGAGTGGTGGGAATACGGTAGGAGGCAAGACCTGAGTCTCAGCCCTCCGAGTCTATTGCTGCCCAGCAGCAGTCACAATAGCCCACATTCCCTGGGCACATCCTGTGCTCCAGATACTATACTAACTGCTTTACACACACTTTCTTCTGTTTCTCCTAACTGTGTTAGGTACTATTATCTTGTGCCCTTTTCAGCAGAGGAAGCTGTGGCTCAGAGAGGTGGAGGAGTAGCTTTGGAAAAGTCACACAATTAGTAAGGAAGCAACAGAGCTGGGATTTAAATCCGGAACTGTCTGGTACCCGAGATCAAGACAGACACTCAACAAATGAAAGCAATTCATGAATTAAAAATGTACATGGTACCACAAAAGGGAGGTAAGATGTGGCCAAGGGTGCCTGTAAAGGCAGCTCTTAAGTTTACAGAGGGGGACAGTTCAGGAACAGTATTTGCTGTGTGTCTATTATGTGCTAGGCAATGAAATAGGCCCTTAAACAGTGTAAACCCCTTCCTCTGAGGCGTAACCTTAAGTTAAAGGATGGAGTGTATGGCTAATATAATTTAAGGAGAAAATTAGATAGACTCATAACTAGGAAGAGTAGATAACTAAGCCAGGTAAGTGCCAAGCACAGCACATAGAATATCCTTACAGGTTCTCTTTATAGGCATTCCTTGTTTTAGCTCACGCTATGCTACATCCATCGCTTCAGTCATGTTTGACTATTTGCAACCCTATGAACTATAGTCCACCAGGTTCCTCTGTCAATGGGATTCTCCAGACAAGAATACTGGGACTGGTTGCCATGCCCTCCTCCAGGAGATCTTCCCAACCCAGGGATGGGACCCATGTCTCATTATGTCTCTTGTATTGGCAGGCAGGCTCTCTATCACTAGTGCCACCTGCCAAGCCATTCAGTTCAGTTCAGTCGCTCAGTCATGTCCGACTCTTTGTGACCCCATGAATCGCAGCACGCTAGGCCTCCCTGTCCATCACCAACTCCCGGAGTTTATTCAAACTCATGTCCATCGAGTCGGTGATGCCATCCAGCCATCTCATCCTCTGTCGTCCCCTTCTCCTCCTGCCCCCAATCCCTCCCAGCATCAGGGTCTTTTCCAATGAGTCAACTCTTCGCACGAGGTGGCCAAAGTGTTGGAGTTTCAGCTTCCAAGCCCTTAGGGCCTCTCAATTCCCCAGGTCCTCAGACATAGCTCTAGAAGGGTCCTTGGGCTGCCAATGAGAATTCTACTTTTCCTTATCTATAGTAATGTCCTCTTCCTTTATTCTGAACTTCCAAGAGGGGATATAGTGTTCTTGGGTACTCATATAATTAGCCTCTTTGGGTTTTTGCTTTCTGATCTATGTAATGGGAATGCTACTACTTTCCCTCCATTAAGGTTAAAGTAAGATAACAGGTAGGGCTTCCGTGGTGGCTCAGATGGTAAAGAATCCACCTGCAATGTGGGAGACATTGCAGTACTCTTTCCTGGAGAATCCCCACAGATAGAGGAGCCTGACAGGCTGCAAGCCATGGGTCACAAAGAGTCGGACACGATTGAGCGACTAAACACAGCACAGCACAAGATAACAGAGAATTTTGGTCAAGAGCATAATCTTTGGGATCAAACAGGCCAGTGTTAAAACCCCAGCTCTGCCACTTACTAATGCTGTGATTTAGGGCAAACTATCTAACGTCTATGAGCCTCAGTTTCCTTAACTTGCCTTAAGTGACATAGCTTGTATCGATTCTCTATGCTCAGTCAGGCATTATGCTAGTGTTTTCATAAATACTCTTTAGTTGTTAATCTTCGTAACAATGCCCAGCATGGTGTCTGGCCCAGAGTAGAAGAGCAGTACAACTTTGTTTAGAAAAGAAAGAGGCCAGTGATTCCGTGGGACAGAAAAGAACACTGAAATGGGATTCCCAAAACACTGCTCAGGATACTCGGTGGGAATGAGGGGGTGGGCACCTACATGACCACAGAAGGGCTCAGACTCAAACTTAAGGACAAGTACTTAAGAACTGTCCTGGCTTTGCCGCTAAGAAGTGCAGATACAGTTACATTATTTGATAACAGCGAATGGCTGCTCTGACAGGTCAAAAGTTAGAAACATCTTCACATGCAACATGGCAGATTCTCTTTCACCCTCTCCATCCAAGATGTGACAGTATCCATGTAGAAAGTAAATAAAGAAAAGTAGAAAATAAATTCGTATCAGCAAAAAGAACGGGAGTGGGGGTTATCAGTACATAAGTGATTCTGACAAATTTAGATGGCAGATGGAAACATGTTGACAAATGAGGAAGTCATCATCTAGAGCAGCATTGTCCAACAGAAATATGAGAGTCACATATATAATTTTACATTTTCTAGTACTCACAATAAAAAATGAAGAAATTAATTTTATACTGTTTTATTTAACCTAATATATACAAAATATTATCATTTCAACATATAAGATAATTATTTATGATATATATATGTGATATATATGAGATATTTTACTTCCTTTCTTTTTTGTTTTTTGTGCTAAGTCTTCAGAATCTGCTATATATTTTACACTAATAATACATTTCAATTAAAACTAGCCTATTTTAAATGTTTAATAACAAAAGGCAGCTAGAAATGACTAAACTAGATAGCATAGGGCTAGATTCGTCAAGAGAGGGCTACATTGGGGGCAGGAGCTGATCTGTCCAGAGTGACCCAACAGAGACTGGCTTGAAGTGGGCACCTTTGATGGAGGGTAGAAGTGAGAAGCAGGGCTGAACAAACTGGATTAAAATGATCTGTATTCATGAGTCATTCCCTTTATTCTCCAACACAACTTATACAACCTGTCCTGAAAAATTCTTCCCTAAAGAAACTGAATAAACTGGGAATTGAGGTCTTTAATGGGGGCATTCCAGAGCAATACCTCTCCCCTTTCTCATCTATGGGGGCCCATAGCCTAACAACTAGCACCTTATTCACTTGTCCTAAAGCAAAGTCTACAGGTCAGTGTGCCCTGCCCACATACTCAGAACTCCCAGTCAAACCTCCCATTCAGATATACAATGGCAGAGGGAGAAAAAGTGCATTCCAAGCTACTCAGTCCTTCACTTTTTTTTTTCCAGGTAAGAAGTGGATTTATTTAGAGAAAAACACTCCACAGACAGAGTGTGGGTCATCTCAGAAGGCAAGATCAGCCTCCACTCTTAACCAGACAACCAAAGAAACTAACTACACTTAGAAAACCAGCAACATGAAACAGAAAAACTGATTCAGTGGAAAGACAAAATTGAAGGGACACAAAGAGATTTTAAAAACAAGAACAGAATGCTATGAGAAAAGATCAATCAGAAAACAAGAGGCCTCAGAAATGAAAAATAAGATTGCTGAAAAAAATCTCAATAAAAAAGATGGAAGATATAGTTGAGAAAATCCCCCTAAAAGCAAAGTAAAAAGAGAGAGAAAGACAGATAGAGAAACAGAGAGAAATCAAGAGGGGAGGGAGGAAAGGAGAGGAAGAAAGGGAGATAGATGAAAAGGATGACGGACAATATAAGAGAAACAGATGACCAATCTGTGAGGTCTACCATCCGATGAAGAGACGTTTTAGAACAGAAGAAAATGGAAGGGGAGAAATCATCAAAGAAATAATAGAAGATAACTTCCCTGACTTGAAGAGATGCCCAAACCTCCCGATTAAAAAAGTCCTAAGGTACTGACAAGACAGAATGATAAAAGCTCCATATCAGACACATTCTTGCAAAATTTCAAATAATCAAAAGATAAATGGAATATTCCTAAAAGCTTTTAGAAAGGAAAAACCAAAGTCTCTTACAAAGTAACTGGAATCAAACTAGCATCAGACCTCTCATTAGAAATGTTGGCTGCTAGAGACAATGGAGCAACATCTTCAAAATTCTGAGAGAATATGAATTTGAACTTGGAAATCTATATTAGGCCAAACCATCAATCAACTATGAGGGCAGAATAAAGATATTTTTAGACATGCTAGGAAAAGAATGTATATACCTCCCACATACCCCTTATTAAGGAAATTACCTGATAATGTACTCCAGCAAAAGAAGGGAGAAAACCAAGAAAGAGGAAGACATGGGATCCAGGAAAAAGAGGATCCAACCCAGGAGGGCAGTGAAGGGAAGTCCCAGGCTGAGAGTTGTACAGCAGGCCTAAAGAGCAGCCACTCCAGACTGGAGCAGGAGGACGGAGGGCTCCAGGAGGGAGGTCTCTTGGGGGGAAATATGAACTCTAGGCAACAGGCAGCATGACTGACAGGCTGGATAAACTTAAGGGTATGTTGAAGGCCCATCATTCTTTTGTCAATGAGAAGAAAGGCAATTAGAAACTCCAAGAAAAATAAAAAGCTATATGAGAAAGTTACAATCTAAATATGAAGCAAACTAAAATGTGGCATGATTTTAAGCAATCGATGGAATGTAAGGAAAGAGAAACCATTTGCCCTTGACATTAGGAACATTCTTTTTTTAAGAGCCCCAAGATTAGAATTCAGGAACTACAGAGAAGGAATATCTTTCTATGCATACTACTTGGTCCTGCAGTGAATGACAGCTTCATACTCATAATAATATCAAGGCCACTTATTGGCTTTTAATCTTTAGAATTAGCCCAAAGAATGGAAGACTTAAACATGGCTATGCAGGAGAAGGTGAATGTCAAATGTGACCATATAAGAGTACAGCTGCCAGGAAGTGATAGGAGGAAGAGGGGAGCAAAAGCTGATGGGTAGGGCTCCGAATACAACATACTTACATAAAAGGGATTAAGACACTGGCTGCTGTTGATGGGATAAAAAATACTGGCATACTCACATTATTGAAAAACAGGACCAATAGGAAACTGAAAATAATAACTGTCAAATACTAGGAACAGCATGGATAGAAGGTGAACTAAACCTTCATCTGTCATTGCAGGAAATTGATGTATATGTGCATGTAGGGGTGTGTATGTGTGTGTGTGTGTGGTATGCTTGTATATACAGAACATTTATTCCCAGGATATATAAGAAAACAGAAACACTGGTGGTTACCTCCCAGAAGGGAAACTGGGTAGTAGCTGGGAAAGAGGAGTCAAAGGAAGGATTTCTCATTCTACATTCTTTAATACATTTTGCAATTTTAATGATGCAAATCTATTACCCCACTATAAAATCAATCAATAAATATCTAAAGAAATGAAAAAAAGCACAAGGATATTAGAATTATGGAGGTGACTCAAAAAACACTTAAAACCAAAAACAGTGAAAGAGGTTGCCTATGAGAAGTGGGACCAAAAATCTGGAGGGTAGAGTTAGAGGCTGTTTTCCATAGTAAGTTGTTTTTAGCTGTGCTGCACAGCTTGCAGGATCTTAGTTCCTCAAACAGGGATCAAACCTGTGCCCTTGACAGTGAAAGTGCAGCCCTAACCACTGGACCACCAGGGAATTCCCATCATCATCAGCTTTTTAGCACTACTGAATTTGATCATACATAATATATACTTGTCTCATAATAATAAAAACTCAAAAAGTTAAATAATATAACATAAAGCAAAACATGAACACTGGGTGGCATTTGAGTAGTGTCCAGAAAGGGTCAAATTAAGGCAATTTTTTTTTCTTTTTTTATTTTTTTTCTTTTTTTTATACTACTCAGCCATAAAAAAGAACGAAATATTGTTATCTTCAGCAACATGGCTAGACCAAGGTTGTTATACTGAGTGAAGTTAAGTCAGAAAGACTAAGACAAATACCATGTGAGATCATTTACATGTGGAATCTAAAATATGACACAAATGTACTTATTCACAAAACAGAAAGATTCACAGACACAGAAAACAAGTTTATAGTTATCAAAGGGGAAAAGGAGTGGGTGGAAGGGATAAATCAGGAGTTTGGGTTAGCAGATACAAACTACTATATATGAAATAGATAAACCATAAGGTCCTATAGCACAGCAAACTATATTCAATATCCTGTAATGAACCATAATGAAAAATAACATGAAAAAGAATATATAGAGTAAAAGAATATATAAATCTGAATCACTTTGCTGTATACCAGAAACTAACACAACATTGTAAAGCAACTATACTTCATCAATTAAAAAGACACAACTGCTATAGCTGAGATCTTTACAGAGACCAGTGATTCTCTTGAAAAGGAAGACAGGAAACAGAAGAGGAATTATGTATCAGTATCTCTTGAGAAGATGGATTTTTCACAGTTGCTCTCATCTTTCTCCAAATGAGTGTCTCATATACAATGAGAGTTGTTTCTGATAGGAAAGTTGCACCAAAGTGCAGAGGCAAATTTTTAAAGTTGAGAACCATGATGATGAAAGAAAAGAGTCGCAAGCTCACTCATAATCTTTTGAGGAACAATCCCAATGAATTCAAATGTGAAGGCAAAGCAGATGAGAGAAGGATCACCTAAGCTTTTGTGACAGGATGTCTTTAAGAGACAGTCTGAAGGAGGTTTCCTTTAAGAAAAAAAAATCGAGGGAATGAAATAAACATTTGTAGAGAAAAACAAAAATATCTGTAGACAAATAGTCAGGGGAGAGGGAAAGGGTATCTTTAGGCTCACAGAAAAGGCTTAATCAAATATAGCAAGATCCCTAAAATGATGTACAGGGAAAAGAGTAGCAAACACCATATATACTGTACCCTATGTGCCAGCCACTGACCTAAATGCTCTTAAATAGATTATTAATTTATCTTAAATCCTCCCAAAGTCCTATAAGGTACAAACTATTATTTTTCCCAATTTACAGATGCAGAAATAGATAAGAGAAACTTGCCTCAAGGTCCAACAGCTGGTAAAGGGAGACCTGGGATTAAACCCAACTGTCTCTAAAGCCAGATGACAAAACCAAGAATATTCATTAGAGAGAAGAATATAAAAAAATTCTTTTTAAATGGGTGATCTCTTGCAAAATGGCAAGAAACGCTAGAACTAATTGGGGTAGGGGGATTCTTCCCCGGAAGGCCTCTGTCCCCCCTCCAATCTTTTGATTGAGATGAGAGGAGGAGCCCTGAGTGAGATGGAGGAGGAGCCTTCAACACAGACAAGGTTTGGAGCTGGAGCTGTAAAGAATGGGAAAGAGCAGGGAGGAATCAGAATCAATGGCAAGTTGATGTGTGAAGCGCAAATCTTGAGACTCTACGAATTATACATTCTCACCTGACTTAGGGTCTACTCTGTGTTAGGAAAAGATTCTCATATCTGTATAGATTAAGGTAAACAACTTCTCTGGGTATAAGAGTGGCCGAAACAAACAAACTACATCAATGATCAACAGACACAGGAAAGACCCATTCCTGCAGAGAATCGCATCCGAACGAGTACATTCCAAGGAGAAATAGGTTTTGCGGGGGGAGGGGAAGGAAGAATGGTCGAAAGGACAATTCCAAGGAGAGATAGGTTTTGGAGGGGAGGGGCAGGAAGAGTGGTCGAAAGGACAATTCCTACCTGCGCTAGTCCTTGCCCCTGCCCCCTCCCGAATTCTCTCGAAGGACCACAGAGGGATCTGGAGTGAAAGCCCAGAAGCTGCATCCGAGGAACGCGGCTTCCTGGGAGCCCCGGACATCAGACGCACGCCAACCCCCACCGATTCCGCTGCTCCCTTCAAATTAAGGCAATTTTTAACATTTCTTTCAGTACAACCCTGGAGGACCATTTGTTAATATCTATCTAAAATGTAAAACACGACTTTTGGTGCAGTAATTCTACTTCTGGGAATCTGTTATACAGAAATATCGGATAAATGTGCAAAGACGTATACAGAAAAATGTTCCCTGCCTCACTGTTTTCAACAGAGAAATGCTAGAAACAACTCAAAAATCCACCAATAGAATACAAAACAAAACAAACTGTGCAAAGTCTATTTGATGGAATACTATGAAGTGAAGAAGTGAAGTCGCTCAGTCATGTCTGACTCTTTGCAACCCCATGGACTGTAGCCTACCACTCTCCTCCATCCATGGGATTTTCCAGGCAAGAGAACTGGAGTGGGTTGCCATTTCCTTCTCCAGAGGATCTTCCCGACCCAGGGATCGAACCCGGGTCTTCTGTATTGTAGGCAGACACTTTACCGTCTGAGCCAGCAGGGAAGTCCTATGGAATACCAAGAGGCCATTAAAAAAATGAGGCAGACCCATATATAGTGCCATGGAAAAACATCCACATTATATGACCATGTGAAAATGTAATAAATTATACAATATCATGCATAGGGATTAATCCCATTTCTGTTTCTAAAAAAACGTATTGTGTGTACTTGCACAGGAAAAATGTGGAAGGATACAGTGCAAAATATGGTTTTCTAGAGGACTGAGATTATGTGGGGCTTTCATTTTCTATGTTAAAAGCCTCTGTAAAGTTTAATGTTTTTATATGACACACATATCTCTGACAATTAAAGCCCAGTTATAACTAAAGCAAGTGTGACTGGGCTCCGAGCATGACAGTGTCCTTTTGGTCACGCAGGGGAGACAGAGAGGAGTGTCCAGCTCTGAAAAGTTTCCCAGGGAACAGAGATGGACTGGTCTGAAGAAGTTCATGACCCAGAAAGCCCAGGGGTTGGGAAATGACTGTGAATGACCAGGCAGCCAGGAGCCTGCCCCAGGAACAGCCAGGGTGGAGATCTTGCCAAAGCTCTCCCCAGTTCCAGGCTAGGAAAGGCAGGCCTGAGCTTCTCCCAGACACCGTCTTCCCATCCTCAACAATCTGGGTTCTTGCAAGATGGAGGAAGTGGATGAGCAAAGCAGAGCAGACACACAGACAGACATACAGATACGCATGTGAAGACAGACATGCATGCACACACACACTTCATTCACAGACATCTGCACAGAAACACGCACACACACACAGATGTGTGCATGCACACAGACCTGGGGGAGGCACCGAGAGGTTACACAAACACCAAGATGCACAAACAAACAGAAAGAAGCAGAGAGAAAGGAAAGGAAGAGATAGCAAGACGAAGCCCGTGCATCCCTGCTCCGGAGCTGTGGGCGACACACCCAGATCTGAGCCCCCTTCTGACCTCCCCTTCGATGGCACCTTGGGGTAATTAGGCCTGCCGTCTCCGTTTCTGCTCCTGCAAAAGAAGGCTAATCGTCCCGATCTCAGGGCAGTGCTATCAGACAGTGTGATGAGGTTCTGTAGCTGCCTGCCTGTGTGTCGGCTGGGTACGGGGGGCTCGGGGCCCAGCCACTCTCGGGGCAGAGGTCAGGAGCAGGTGCTGGGCAGTGAGGGGTACTCACGGATAGCAGAGGAACAGGAGGTTCAGGAAGGAGTAGGTCCTGAAGAGGTGAATGAGGGAGCGGCACAGACTCCAGCCTGTTGCCGTGAGAACGGTGAAACGGGTGAGGAACAGCAGGATGGAGCGAAAGAGGGTGACCTTCCCCCTTTGAGAAGCCTGGGTCAGGGGAGATAGGATGGGATGGGGCCTTGGATGGAGGTCATGGGGGCTGTGCCCAAATCCCACCCAGCATGGCCCATGATTCCCCCCCTGCAGGGTGGGCAGAACCTGTCAAGGCAAATCCTTTCCCTGGACGCTCAGGAAACTCCAAGAGCCAACGGGATGAATACTCTTCAGCCGAGTTCAAAGGGAGCCCCCAAGCAAAGGCCTCAGGGATCAAGGGCTGGGTATGCCTCCGTGGTGCCCCCAGGGGGGAAAGGGGAGTCCCAAAGTCCCCGGGCCAGCCTCTGGGACCCAATCACCTCCTTCACGATGGACCCAATGAAGCGGCGGCCCAGAACGATGGTGGTCACCATCAGCAAGTTGAAGTCGATCAGGTGGAAATTCTGTCGGGGGCAGAGGCTGGGGGTCACATGGGCCCCCTGCCCATATATGGGCTTTTCACATACCCACCTCCCCCTACCCAGTCCTTTCCATTGGGACTGTCCCCACTCTCTGACCTTCACAGGCCTCCAGCTGAGTCAGACCAGGAAAATACCTAGAGGAGTGGAACAGGACCCAGAGGAGGGAAGTGGGACAGTCCCTGGAGACAAGAGAGTGGTGTGTGAGCCCTCCTGCTCTGCTCACCCGGCCCCTGCCCCGCTCCTGCACAGAGCTCATTCCTCTCCTTGAAATAACCATGTACGCCTGCTCCCCCACAGGACTTTAGACTCTGTGATCCTTGACACAAAATCTGAGTCAGATTCATCTCTGCTGCCCTTACGGTGTGTAGTGTGGTGCTGAGCACATCAGGGTGAGCGTTCAGATGTCATCGGTTCCTTTTTAGTCCTCCCATGCCCAGTGTGAGGCCAAACACACAGGGTGCTGGGCGAGATAAGCTAAACTGAAACCAAACGTGTCACTCACTCACACACGCGCACCCACAGCGGGGCCTAGCTGGGCACCTACCAGGGAGGTGTGGGAGGGCGGGTGGGAGGGCGGATACCACCACACTGTCTTGTAGATGTTGATGTAGTGGACGAAGAGGGCTATGAGCTGGCAGAAGAAGAGCTGCAGCTCAAACAGAATGCTGGCCTGGACTGGCAGCTCAGGGATCTTGCAGTGCTGCAGGGGCACGACCGTCTGGGTGGCCAGCGGCGGGCTGGAGAGGCCCGGCCCCGAACTGCTCCTGGGGGAGAGAGCGCACGTCATCAGGAGCTGACCGGAGAACCCTACGAGGAGGGGCTTCTGAGGCACGGGACCGAGGGGCAGGCACAGGACCGTGGGGCAGGCTCAGAAAGGCAGCCCAGGGCAAGGATGCATGGAGTCCGCCTACTTCTCCTGCCTCTCAAAGAAGCTGACAGAGCCTTTCCTTATTCCTCCCTCCTCTTATTCAGGCTTTCCAAGATTCCCCAGGAAGGAAAGGAAAGGTGAGGAGAAGGGGGCCCAGAGAGGGCAGACAACTTGCCCAATCCACCAGTGAATTAGGAGCAGAACTGTGAGTGGAGTCCAGGCCTTTGGGTTCATTATACTATGTCCCAAGGTATCTGTCCCAGGGACCGCCCTCACCCAGGGACTCTGCTTCTGCTCCCTGCCCTTTAAGACTCCATCTGGCACCTGGGGTATCATATCCTAGGGCTCAGTCAGGGAGAGCTCTGTCCAGACTGCTGCTCTGAGCCCACAGGGAAGTGCAAGAGACAGCAAGTAGTTTACCTGGTGCGGGAACGGACACTGGTGACCGATGCGCTGGAAGTGTGGCCCCCACCCGAGCCCCCAGAGGATCCTGGCTCACAGAGTGGATTTCGACAGTAGGATGTCCTGTTGGGACCTCTTCGTCCTCCTGCGGGGCTCAACATAAGGTAGATCCTCAAGCCAGAGGGCATATATCAAGGATAACAACCTGGCGTCTCATTTGGTCACTCAATCACAGAGACCCATGATTGGTTCCCCTGCCTATCGCTTCAAAGGCATCTCCTACCATTCTCTGCCTTGACCCCATGCTTCAGCCAGCCTAGTCTTTGTCTCTTTGAGCAAACCAAGCTTACTGCTACCTTCTGCGCTTGCTGTACTCTCTGGAGAGCCATTCCCTGCCATTCTAACTCTCTATCTTATTGCCATTTTTCTTTTCACAGTTTACTCTTCATCTTATTCATTTGTTAACATATTTACTGCCTATCTTTTCCACTGGAATGGAAGGCCAGTGAGGTCTGTCTCTTTCACTGCTGTATCCCCTCCCTCTACCACAGTGCCCAGCGTAAGAGTAACTGCTCAATAACAACACATTGATGAGGGAATGAATCCAGCAAGGTAGATTACCCAGATTAGTAAATTCAGTTTACACAGAGTCACAGGTGGTATTGGGGTCTGAGTCCTGTGCTCTTTGAACCGGTATATGCAACTCCTTTGGGATACTACTACAAGTCCCTGTAGGCTTATGATTCCTCCAGGACCCAAGATCTGGCTTAATGGGCATCCTGAGCTCTCACAGTCAGGATTCAGGGCCTGAGCAAGTGTCAAGGGAGAATGGCATGGTTGTGAACCTAAAACATAGACCTACAACTTCTTTCTCTCAGTTGAGCAATCTAGCCCAAGTTCCCAGGTCCTGCAAAAAGCTCCTAGGCACCACCCCAGCCCCAAAGTTACGTGTGTGCTCAGTCACTTAAGTTGTTTCCAAAAGTTAATGTGTGTGTTCAGTGCGACCCCATGGACTGTAGCCTGCCAGGCTCCTCTGTCCACAGGATTTCCCAGGCAAGAATACTGGAATGGGTTGCCATTTCATTCTCCAGGGGATCTTCCCAACCCAGGGATCAACCCTGTGACTCCTGCATTGGCAGGCAGATTCTTTACCGCTGAACCACCTGGGAAGCCCAAAGTTAAAGCCTTGTTCATACCTCATGACCACATAGCAGCCTCCACAGACACACACACCCCCTGCCCTAGCTTCTCCGCCTGGAAGCTTTTCCCCAACGTTTCCAAAAAAGTTCTTGTCCAGGAACTCTGCCCGCGACCAGCCCCAGAGCCAAAGCTCTGTTCACGTGCTACTGTACCTGGCTTAGAAAACCCCACACAGGTACCCTCAGTCCAAATGCTCTACCCACACCCACTCTCCTCTCTATAGAAGCTCTACACCCACATATAGCCTCTCAGCCCAGAAGCTCCGCCTACACACAATTGTCAGCTCAGAAAACCCGCCCACAAGCCAATAGAAGCTCTCTGCCCAGAAGCCCGGCTCCAGAGTGGGCTCCCTTCATCAGGAAGGTCTCCTTTCCGCCCCACCTCCCCAGTACAAAGCCCCTACTGCCCAGAAAATTTGCCCCTGCAGCAGGGCCTACAGGCTAGGAGCCCCGCCCTTAGCACGAAGGCCACGCCCACGAGCAGCCCCGCCCCACTCCCGCCCGGGACAGTAGGTCCCTATTAAAGCCCCCAGGAACCTCCGCATTTTAGCAGTCCCGCCCACCCCTCGAATGTCCCGCCCCCACAACAGAAGCCCCACCCGCAAAACGACAGGAGGGGGCGGGGTCCCCCTGGGCCCAACATCCCCTCCCCCTCCTCTCGCGGGGATCCTGTCCGCGTGGGGGAGCAATTAGCAGCCTGGCCATCCTGACCCCGGAGCCCGCCCGTTCCCGGGCCAAGCCGGACCCGTGCCGCTCACCCATCTCCTCCCCCCGGCGCTCTCCGCTTCGCCGCCGCAGCTCCTGCGGGCAATATGTCGGAGGCGACGGCGGCCGAGAGAGGACTAACCGCTGCAGCCCAGTCCCCGGGTATCAGCTGCGCGCTCCCGCCCCGCCGCCAAATTTGCATACAAGGCGGGCTAGAAGCTGGGGGCGCGCTTCTTAAAGGGGCCGCCCTGGACAAAGGCAGTGCCGCGCGCTCTTTGTCTCGCGGTCTCCCACGCCCTTCCTGCAAATGCAGCTGGAAAACCCGAGAGGGAGGAGAACCTATCTCCATCTCTTCCCTTGCCTGCCTTTTCCTAGCACCTTTTCAGGACCGAGGGAGGTGGCCAGAACCTCATCTCGGTTCCTGCATCCATGAGTCGTCCACTGGCTCCTCAAACTGATCGCGTCCCAAATTGGGCTTTCATCTTTCTCTTTGGCCTTACTGCTCTTAGTCCATCACAATCAAAACTTGGGAGTCATTTCCTCCTTTTCCTTCTACCGCCATATCCAGTCTTCCACCTAGTCTTCCTGACGCTCAGTTCAGTTCAGTTCAGTCGCCCAGTCGTGTCTGACTCTGCGACCCCATGGACTGCCGCTCGTCAGGCTTCCCTGTCCATCACCAACTCCCGGAGCTTGCTCAAACTCATGTCCATCGAGTTTGGACATCGAACCATCTCATCCTCTGTCGTTCCTTTCTCCTCTGCCTTCAGTCTTTCCCAGCATCAGAGTCTTTTCTAATGAGTTATCCCTTCGCATCAGGTGGCCAAAATATTGGAGCTTCAGCTTCAGCATTATTTCTCACTTCTGAGAAAATGTGAGGAAGAATATCCTTCTTTCACTACATTAGTTCAAATCCTGATTCTGCCAGTTCCAAGACTTGGATTCCTGTTTCTTGCTCTTTACTGCTAACTTTCACCTTACAGGGCTTGGTGAGTATTAAATGAAATAATGCATGTAGAACAGAGTCTGTTTTGATAAATGTTAGCCGTCATTACTATTAAGATGTATGGCAAGCACTTAACACAGAGGGAGCTCTCAATAAATGAGCTGTTACTAGTAATTGTTATAATTTCTTCCCTCATAAGACTTCCAAGTTGTCTCCATCATCTGGTACCTCCCATCAATTAACACAATGTTTGGCATATAATAGACAACAATATTAAATTAACTAAATGATTTAGGTATTTAATTAATAGAAATTCACAAAGCTTACAGTTAAGTGGGAGGAGATGGGCATAAAAAATATAGTAAAAATCATTAGAAAGGAATGATTGTGATGGAGGAAAACAGGAAAGGGGGATGGGAGGTTGCAATTTTAAACAGGGGTAGTCAGTAGGTTTCACAGAGGTGACTTTTGAACAAACACTTGAAGGAAAGAGTGAGTCAGTCATGTAGATATCTGAAGGAAGGGGGCGGTCCAGGCAGAGGGAAAAAGTCATTGGAAGGGCCCTCAGGTACAAGCACCGAGCACGCCTGCTATGTTTAAGAAACAGCAAGGAGGCCAATGTGGCTTGAAATGGAATAGACATGAGAGTCGGACATGAGAAAGAATGGACCTGTGACTTTTACTCTGAATGAGATGGGAGCTACTGGAGGGCTTGAACTTCCTTTTTTTTTTTTGAACTTCCTTTTTTAAAGAATCACTCCAGCTGTCCTGTGAGAATAGCCTGTAGGGCAGAGGGGTGGAAACAGGGAGACCAGGATGCTATGGCAGTGATCGTAGCAAGAGATATTGATGGTTTGTACAAGACTGAGTGAAATGAGTCATGGTTGGAGCCTGGATTTGAAGGTAAAGTCAACAGGATTTGTTGACAAATTTGGATAGGTGTGCGAAGAAACACAAATAGGTGTGCGAATGGAAGAAAGAGAAGATAAGGATTGCTTCATGGTTTTTAGCCTAGGCAAATGGAAATATAGATTTTAACGTATATACATCTGTTAAATTATAGAGCTATATTAATAACAAAGAGGCCTTCCTTTCTGGGGAAAAAGAGGGCTTAGGTAGGGAGAACAACTGCATCACAAAGCAGGTCACAAAGTAGGGTAGAAACCAGGGCTGAGATTTCTTTTTCTAGCCAAAGAAATTCTGGTTAGAAGAGCCGGTTCTGACCTCTTTAGAGTACTGAATTTGAAGTGTATCTTGTTAGTTACTGAATCCCCAACACCTGGCCACCACCTGGTAAGTGATAGGCATTTATTTGGGATCAATTCAGTTGAATTGAGATAGTGGCAAACTAGCTCTTGAAAGGAAGCCAGTTGGGAAGGGACGCTAAAGGATTTCGGGAATATTCCGTAGACAATGACTGAAGCTGGGCCATTCCTGGGAACTCATTTTAACTCAGGTCAATAAACATTTCTGAGCATCTGTTATATGTTGGCCACTGAGGATACAGAGGTGCTGCTCATTAGTGGGAGAGACACAGAGGAGAATCAATAAATTACGACCCAATGTGGTAACAACAGCAGTATGTACCAGGTACAGAGGTGGATAGAAGATGACTAACCTTGACAGGGGAGGTAATCAAGGGAAGGCTTCATAAGAGAGGACATCGGACCTGGTTTCTGAGAATAGGAGTTTGGCTGTTACATTCCTCAGGGTGGAAGCAATAGCTTGAGTCTGGTAATTGCCTTACTGGGGCTGGTGGCAGGGGAGTGTCTTGCTGTGCATCTACTATGTGGAAGGTATTTGACTTTGTACATGGCAAATACTCAGGAAATGTTTGCTGAATTGATTTTTTAAAAAACATTTAAAAATTTCATTTATTTAGTTTTGTTTGCACTGGGTCTTCATTGCTGCTCACGGGCTTTCTCTAGGAGCCACAAGCCGGGGGTTACTCTTTTTTGGGGTGCAGGGGCTCCTCATTGAAGTGGCTTCCGTTGTGGAGCACGGGCTCTAGGGCATGTGGGCTCAGTAGTTGCTGTTTATGGGCTCTAGGGCATGGGCTCAGAAGTTGTGGTGCACAGGCTTAGTTGCTCTGTGGCATGTGGGATCTTCCTGGAGCAGAATTCTTATCTACTGTACCACAAGAGAAATCCTGCTTAATTGATTTGAGGATGTTCAATCAACCCAGGGTATGGGGCGAAGGGCACTCAAATGGACCACTATGCATGTGACCCATTACCTGTGGCTCCTGCTCACCTTGTAAAGGTTGACTACTGATTTTGCCTGCCCAGAATTCATTCCTCTTTCTTCTGATATGAACACTCATTTTCCCTTGGGAATCTACCCTTCCTCCCACTCTCTCCATGAAGTTTAGGGTGGCTGCCTTAGTCTGCAGTTCCCGTGTGTGCAGATGCTCCTGGCCTGCCTGACAAATCAAAGCATTCCATCCCTGCCATGTCAGGCTACAGGGACTGGCTTGGGGGAGGGTGGAGGTGTGTTAGTGACCCAAGTTAGGCCAAATGAGATGCAATCCTAGGACCTTTGCTACAACTATTGGGCAATAAAATTTCCCCCCTGTGGGATGGCTAAGGAAGTAAAATATAAACTTGAAGTTCTTGGTGGTTATCTTGCCACCTTTCGGGGAGAACTTAGCTGACAATGAAAGAAACACAGAAAAGTTAGAGAATCAGGAGTCATTTTCTTAACAGCATCATTAGATCCAGGTATATCTGAAGTCTTTATGGACTTTTCTGTTACAAAAAGTCAGTTTGGTGTCTGACAATTGCTACCAAAAGAATCTAGAACAATATACACTTCCATCTCAGCATCTACTAGAAACATCTAGGGCCTTAATCCTTCTACATTTGCCTCCTACTACAGGCTCTGTGTAGAAAATAACTACGATGGCAGGATGTTCGTTGGGTTTTTGTCCTCTAGATCTGTGCCCACACATCTCAGCTGTTTTGTGACCCTGAGGCCCTCACTTCCCTCCTTCATTTCCTGATTAACTATGTATGTATGTCTTCATTTCCTGATTAACTTGCTCTCTATTGGCTCTCCCAGGAGACTTGAATTTTTGAGGAAATGCCACTGGCTCTGCGCCAGCCATGTGTCATTGGACATCAGGAGTTGGGATCTCTTCCTTGGTTCTGTTATTCTGGGACCAAGGTTGGCATGTCTGTCCTCAAGATCAGTTTTCGGCCTGGATTATGCAGACCTCTGGGGGTCCTGAAACCACAGCATAAGATACAATACTGCTTCCCGGAGTGTCAGTTTTATTCATAGCAATGTAAGGCAGTATTTTCAATATTAAAATATAGTTATCCAGAATACCTTCTCTGAGCCAGACTTACATGGAATCAAATCCTGGCTCTACCACTTACGAGCTGCATGACCCTAAGAAATTATTTAACTTCTCTGTGCCTCAGTTTCCTCAGTATAAAGTGAGGTTAGTATAACACACAGATGTAGAGAACAAACTAGTGGTTGCCACTGGGGAGAGGAATGAGGGGAGGGGCAAGATAAGGGCAGGGGTTGAAGAGGTACAAACTGCTATGTATAAATAAGCTACAAGGATGTATTGTACAGAACAGAGGATACAGCCAGTATTTATAACTTTTTGGGCGTGCTGGGTCTTTGATGCAGTGTGTGGGCTTCTCTTGTTGTAGAGCATGAGCTCTGGAGTGTGTGGGCTCAGTAGTTGCAGCACAGGCTCAATGGGATCTTAGTTCCCTGACCAGGGATAGAATCCACATCCCTTTCATTGGAAGGCGGATTCTCAACCACTGGACCACCAGGGAAGTCTTTGCTTATAATAACTTTAAATGGAGTATAACTGATAAAAAAGTTTTGAATCACTATGCTGTACACTTGAATATATTATCATAAAGCAACTACATTTCAGTTGAAAAAATATTAGTACCTATTTTAGGAGATTATGGTGAAGATCAAGTTAGACAGTGTAAAGTACTTAAAACATACCTGGTGTATAGTAAATGCTATTTAAGTATTACCTATTATTAAAACATGGATATATTATGAAGTAACAAGAAAACTAATGTGAATTTAAGATTGATGACTTTTGAAGAAATGTCACCTAAATTTCTGCCTCAGTTTCCCAGATTTGTCCTTTTTGCCAGCAAGAACACTTATACCTAATTTTTTTTTTTTTACTACAAGAGAATCCAGATGTCTTCATGTTGTTTTAATTTCCTGGGTTATTCTGATTTCCACATATATGTTAATCTCCCCCAACCTTCCACATCTCAGAGACACTTACCCACTTATTCTCAGACATTTGTTCCCATCCATGTCTTATAATAGCTTATTAGAGACATAGTATGTGCAAGCTTGAGAAAATGTTGTATTTTGTTAGTTTTTCCAGTATAGATGGATTTGGTGTGTAACATATTGCAAGGATGGGGCGGGGGGGAGGGGGGGGGTGGGGAATGGCAACAGAGAAAACAACATGAGCAAAGGTCCAGAGGTAAGCTATAGATTAAGTTCATATCACTTGAGGGTCTTGAATGCCACATGCTACATACAGTGAAGTGTTTAGATTTGGTTTCACCTAAGTCTGTTTCATCTGTAAAATTAGAGTAATTCCCACTTCATTGTGAGGATTAATGACAGACAGAAGTACACATACAGGAGGGCTGTCTGACATAGGAAATGCATAGCTGTCACTAGTAGCTGGGGTCAAGAAGGGGAACTTTAGGTAAGAGCAAATCATCCCACCTTTCAGAGTGGCCTGCAATTTAGTCTTTTGAGATCTTATTTTCACGCAATGCACATCTCAATCACCAGAGGGTGCTCGATACAAAGGAATCAGCTTCCAACCCCACACAAACACTGGTGGGCAGGGCTGGGCAGGGGGTGTGGAATTCTGGACCCGATCCAGAGCTTCTCCATGGTAGGGATAGGGCATGGAGCCAGGCACCCCTCTCTCTGGCTCTCTTGTTTCTTAGAGCCATCCCAAAGGGGATGGGGCATGCTGCTGAGAGCTACAGCTTTGCAAATATTCTGATGTAGATCTTTAGGATGGGGTGGGAGGTGGGGCGGTAGGGGATTAGAAGAGTGAGGGCCAGATCCAGTTTCTGTATTTCAATCAAAAGAGGCTTTCTTTCATTAACTCTGTTCATAAGGACTAAATTCCTTAGAATCCCCTGTGCCAGTCGTCCAGCTAGGCCTGGGCACCTTAGAAAAGGAGCTGGGGGCGAAGCATGAGGAATAGGGGGCATGGGGGAGAATGGGAGGCCGTGCCGCGCCTGACAGTCAGCCTTTAGAGTGGCGTCCACATTGCCCTGGGGCCCCAGCCTGTAGGTCTATTGGATAGGGCTGTGGGCCCTGGGCTTCTCCATCATGACTTACTAACCAAACATGTTTCATAGGATTTTTACAAAACCTTATCTTCTCCACTTACTGGTGAAATGGACTTATCTGTTACAGTTGTTGAAATGAAGGCCCAGAGATATATAGCAATCCAACCAAGATCAAGCACTGCTCAAGGGCAGAACTGGGCCTGGAAAACAGCAGGAGCTGCTCTCAGGGGCCTGGGAGAGGGAAGGCAGGCAGAGTAACAGCCTTCGGGACTACTGCAGCAAGCACTGGCTCTTGGCCAGGCCTGTACCCGCCCCTCCAAGGCCTGCTCTCCAGCTAGGCCAGGCTGCGGAGCCCCGCCTCCACACTCCCACCCCAGTCCCCTGAGAGTCCATCACCCTGGCAACAGCCAGAGAAAGGCCCAGCTAAAATATTTATGGCTCAAAACAGTCCAGAGGCTTCAGATAGGGGGAGAGGGGGAAAAGCTGATGTCATTCCTTCTCTGCTCGCAGGGGAGGTGACTGACATGCAGGGCAGCTGGGTGGGTGGCCTAAGCCCACGAGGTCAGGGCTCCCTGAGGAAAATCCCTAGGGCTGCAAGTGGTAAGGGCAAAAGGGAGTATGTGAAAGACATGACAGGTGACAGGACTGGGCAAGAAACACAGGCCAGGAAAGAGGGAAGAAGGACACTTGAGTGTGGAACAGGATTATGCATAGACCCTGTGGGATGTATCTCACACACTTTTCAGTTGCTTTTCAGGTCCCATTCACTGGATTGGGATTATTATCCTACTTTTATGGAGCGAACAGACCCAGAAAAATACAAAGTTAAGTGAGGGGCTAGGATTTGAATCTAGATCTGTCTGGCTTTGGCCCTGTAAATCCATGGCTTCTAAGTACATATTCTGTATCTGGGGGTGGGAGGTAGGCAGGGCCGCCTAGAATCTAGCACTGGCTTCTCAAGTAGTGACCCAGGCTCTGCACCTCCGTTTTCCATGATGAAGATACCATCTGATTCCTGAACCCTTCTGCCCCAAATTCCTCCTCTGCCTGCTGGACTGAAGCAGGTCCTCAAATGCTAGATGAAGAAACTGACCACAGGTGAGGTCTAGGAGACCAAGAAATCAGGGAAAATGAAGCCTGAGCAGCCAACCCTGGATTGAAGGTCTTGGTGCAAACATAGATTGACAAACTCATCTCAGTTTGCCTGGGACTTTCCTGGTTTTAGGACTGGAAGTTCAACATCCCAGGAATCTTCTGTCTTCGGTAAACAAGGATGGTTTGTCACCCTAAATAAACCTTTCAAACACAATGTTTTACTGTTTCAAAGTACTTCTAGCTCTAAGAGTTATAAAAGGTCAAAAGCAGGGACTGCGAAGTCTGATAGCATGTTTTCTTTTTAACCTTAGGCAAGTTATTTATCCTCTTTGAGCCTGTTTCCTCATCCGTAAAAATGAGTATAGTGGATTGGAGGATTAAGTGAAACAGTATTGTTTAAATGGGGTTCCCAGGAGGCAATAGTGGTAAAGAACCCGCCTGTCAATGCAGAAGACATAAGAGACAGGGGTTTGATCCCTGGGTTGGGAAGATCCCCTGGAGTAGGAAACGGCAACCCACTCCAGTATTCCTGCCTGGAGAATCCCAGACAGAGGAGCATGGTGGGCTACAGTCCATAGGGCTGCAAAGTCGGACATGATTGAGCACCACCACCTTCTTCTGTTGGTGGACCAGGGGATGTTTCCACTTTAACCTCTTGAGATGCCCTCTGTAAAATCAGCCTAGGGGCCTATGGCACTGGCACAGGAAACCAGAAGTATAGCAAAGGTTGACTTTCCCATCCTTTAAGAGAAAACAGTAGGATAAATAGCTAGCCCAACATAGCTGGAAGGAGAGTGGGAGTTAAGACAGGACACCTCCTTTGGCTGTCTCTCAAAGCTGGTAAAAGCTATCAGAGTGGCACTCTTCATCACTTGACTGAACCTTTATTGAGCTCCTCAGTGCCAGGTGTTTGCTGGGGAAGGGATATAGTCCAGATGTTAAGTGGGAAAAGTCCTACCCTATCCTTCAAGATATTTTTGGACTTTAGTTATCAACAAAGAGAAAAACAACAGGCTCTGAGGCTAAAGAACTTGCCTTTTAAAGTACATGAACCTTCTTACATGGCTTTTCTCAGCCTGTTACAGGGGTGGTGACCAGCCACTCTATGGGAGACCTCTGCAAGTGTCCAAGGCTGACACTCACAACACACATGTGGCAGAATGGGAAACAGGAGGTGGTGGTAGGGTGCTCCAGCCAGTTCTGCAGGAGACTAAAGGGAAGCAGGCAAACCGGGAATGACACAATTGGAGTTGCCAGTTTATTCACATCTAGGAGGCCATGCTGAGGATACTGTTAGTCCCCTTCAATCTTTAAGTTCTGAGCAGGTTTAATTGTTAGCATCACAATCCCCTGTTGCCCTAAGGACTCCATTCTGGGCCTAGAGACTCTTAAGGAACTCTGGCTGGCTTTCTGTGGGTAAATCAGACAGATCAAGAGGTAGGTGGGAAAAGACTGTTGTTCTCCTCTGCTGGGTTTCTCTGTGCTCAGTAAATGCCCTCAGGCCAGCCTTGACACAGTAGGCAGCTCTCCTGGTTTCCGGAGTCCTCTGATCGCTGCAAAGACATAGGCAAAAAAATTAAGAAGCATGAAGCTGCCATCCTGGGGGGATTCCCAGGCTCCCATTTGACCACTCTGCCTCCCTTACACTCTCCCCACCCTACAGCACAACCCCAGTTCGTTGCATCCTGGACAAGGTTTTAGGTACACAGATGGGTAGAAAAAGAAGTCCACAGTCTATGAACTCTCTTTTTGCTGTCAGTCAGGCAATGAAAATGGAGCCTCACACTTCCCATCCTTGGCCATGCCTGAGCTGAGTGATCTGGGACAGAAGCAACTAGACCTTCAGGGCCGTTAACTACACAAGCACTGGAACCTCTAGCCATATAAAGAAGAAAATAATTTCTACTCTCAGAGATGTGAAAAAGATAAAGATTAACAGAAAGTTTTAAATCCTTTGGAAGGGAACAGGCATCTTCTCATAGCTATTATTAGTTTCTCAATCCTAGGCTCAAGGGTCCACTTTTTCTGGTTCTCACCAGCCCCTGATTCTCAGCGTTATCCCCTAGAGAATTGGATAGGCGAGACATTCTAAGTCTGGGGCACAGGCCAGGGCCCTAATCTCATGCCAAAGAATGTAACTGTGCTCCTCATCTTAAAAAAAAAAATGGCACTACCATCCCCCAGTTGTTCAAGCCAGTAACTTGGGGCCCCTCATTAGTATGTCCCCTTTCTCCCACACCTAATCAATCATCAAATTATGTTCATTCTCTCTCTTCAAAGTTCTTGAATCCATTCATTTTTCAACACTTTTACTGCTGTCACCCTAGTGTAGGTCTGCCTCAATTCTTTCCTTGTAGGTCTCCATTACCCATTCTCCACTCAGGAGCGAATGAAGTTTAAAAAGTAGAAATCTAATTGTGCCACCTCTTACCTCTGACTACTGAATTCAACAGTCTTCAGTGATGACCACAGCGTAAGGTCCAGATTTCTACCTTGCCTTGACGCTGCCTCAGCCCTACCCCCTGCCTAGAGTATGTTTCATGTTAACTAGACCATCTCCCAAGCTCTGTGTCTAGTTAACTCTGCCTCTAGATGTCAGCTTAAACATTATTTCCTCAAGGAAAATCTCAGAGCTAGGTTAGCCCCTGTTTATGTCCTCACAGTACCCATTCTTTTCTTTCATAGCACTTATCACAACTTAGGTGATTTTATGCTATTTAAGAGATTAATACGTTTAGTGTCTGTGTCCCCAGATATACTATAAGCTTCACAAGGTCAGGGACTAGTTTTATGTTACTTACTCACTCACCACTGACTCTCCAGTGCCTGACACATAGTAGGTGTTCCAGTTTATAACAGTGAATGTATTAAAAAAAAGAATGAGAGGCATCATTTATACTGACCTCTGAGAGAAGCTTATGAAGAATCGTATCTGAACACCAGGTATTTCTCTTTTTCAAAGGCAGATGCAGAGTTTGCTTCCTACATTCCAACCCCAGAGCGCCTGAGAGATTGGGAGCACTCATTTTGTACCTAAAGCGGGGCCGTAAATAGGAAGCATGAAGACTTAAGGAGCCCAAAGAGGGCAGAGAAGAATTAGCTCTGTATCTACATCTTCCAGCTCAATGCTTCACGTACCTGCTGAGGAGACTGGCTATCCTGAAGTGGTCCAATGTAGGCTCCAGAGCTAATTCAGGCACCTTAATGCAGTACTAAGAGCATAAACAGTACCCAGATTTCCAGCAGTGTGTTCTACTTTGGTGATGAATCTGGGCTGACAGCCTAGCTGGACTCTGCCTCGAAACACCTCAAATGGGCTGTCCTTCTTCAGGAGTCCCCACAACCTCTCCCAAATTTGACTGGGAAATGACAAGGCCTCTTTGAAGCAAAAAGCTCCCCTGGTCTAGGTTGGGGAGAAGCACTATATAGCTTGTGTACCTGTAGGAAAATTCCAACCTGCCCTTTCCTTCCTGAGATATAGCCAAAGACAACCAGCACAGCTTAGGCTGGGGGTGAGAAGTACGCTTACTGCTGAGAAGCTGCTGGATTTGTAGTCAAGGAATGTCAAGGAGCTAACCTCCAGCAGCATGGTTATGAAATTCAAATCCCTTCCAGATACAAATTTCCTTCCTTTTAAAAAGACAGCTACAGTTGGAAGAACACTGGAAAAGAACACATCCTCAGCCCCAGAGCCATGGCAGGCTATTGAGTAGAAGACATACAGCCAGAGGGGTAGAAAGCTGATTTTAGAGGTCAGTGAATATATCTGCTCCTCATTACCCCAAACAAATGGGTTTGGTCTGCTGCTTGAATGCAGCCTCATTGGGAGCCATCAGGCCACAACAGGACTAGGGTGCAGTGCCCACCACAGGTCTTTGCTCCCAAGGGGCCTACAAGGGTAGAGCCAGGGAACAAAAGAATGCTCATCAGGCAGTGCATTGTGCTTCCTTCCAACAGCTGTGGCCCCACACAGCTGTATGCAGCCTGTCTGCTCAAGGCTATTAAATATTCATCAGACACCTGCTAGCTTTAAACATGCAATAACAATCCAAAGAGCAAGAGATACATGAGGGTCCAGAGAGAAAAAGAGGGCAAAGGAGGATCTAATTTTTTTAACTTTAGGAATCTGGAAACCAAGCTAGGGGTACCACCCATCCCGTGTATCAAAGCTGGGAACCACTTCCAGTGTAAGCTGATCTTTTGGTGGCCACTGTAGATACAGAGGAAAGACCAGGAGCAGAGAGACTTGGGTCTGAACTCTAGCTCGTGGACCCTGTGGTCATCCTAACAAGTGAGTGTCAGTTTCCCAGGATAACTCTCACTTCACGAGGTTGTAAGAATTGCCCTAGATGCTGCAACATGATACTCCCTGGAGAGTTAGCTCAGAAATGGTGGCAGAGACTTCATTCATTCAAGACTTGAAAGTGGTTACGCAAAGTCTCGCTTAGTAATTCCTTAAGAGTATGGTTTTCACCAGTGGAGACTCACAGAGTTTTGGTCTCTAATTCACAGGGTGGGTGAAAAGGACAGTATATAGCATGATGCCCTCAACGTATGGTGAAGGCCTAACATCTCCCCCTCAAATAGCTCAAACATCTGAGAGGAGAGATGGCTATTCTTTCTGAAAAAGGTTTTTAGGTAAGAGGGAGCAGAAGCCAAGCATGAGGAGGGGAGAACACCTCCTTTGCTCTCCTACAAAGAAGTGATGCATATATGGAAGGTATTTACCTACTGCTTCCTTTACTTCCCCAGCTCACCAGCACAAGGGCAAACACAAGTGTGCTCAAGTCACTGTCCAGGTTAAGGCCTTAAAATACCTCCCTAAACTTTAGGAGAATGTCCAAATTCCTTGATTAAAATTTAGCTTTTCAAAATCAGCACTAACCTACTCTCCCAGCCTCTGTTTATAGCCTCTATTTATACAGGTGCTTAGCACATGTCCTGTTGAATGTTTTATACACATTAACTCACCCAACCTTCACAACAATGTAAAGTAAGTATTAAATTTTAAATATATAATTGTAAAAAAATAAATATTATTCTCCCATTTTACAGATGATGAAACCAAGACTTTGGACGTCCCTGGTGGTCCAGTGACTATGTCTCTGTGCTCCCAATGCAGATAGCCTGGGTTCAATCCCTAGTCAGGGAACTAGATCTTGCCATGCTGCCAACTAAAGATCTGTATACTGCAACACAGATCAAAGATCTCACATATTGCAACTAAGACCCGCACAGCCAAATAAATATTAAAAATGAAACAAACACTGAGCCTTGGATAGGATAACCCACTAAAGGTTCCAAAGCTAGTTATCATTATGTAAAAATGTGTGTTAAACTGTGTAAAAATGGGATAAAATAGCTACTTCACAGGTGGAGAAGATAGTGAATGGCACATAGTAAAGAATGTTAGAATTGACAAAAATGCAATAGTAGCTAAGTGACCTTTTTTTCCTGATTTTATCATTTCTGAAATCAGAACTCATCTTAACACTCATGAAAACAAACCCCTGTGTCAGTTTAACTGACAGTATTTTTTTCTTTCTGTGCACTATTTCATGATGCATCTCGTAACACATGCCCTCAGTGTCAATGAAATATGGTGTTTATCTTAAAGCAGCAGCATGCTTTTGGCACAGAGAATGGGTTTTGGTGTACAAAATGCTAATGGGCACCTCCTCCATGACTTGTTACACAACTGTGGTAAATTACTTCACCTCCCCTAGTAACAGCTGCCTCATTTACAAAAACAGACATACAGTAGATAGTCAAATTAACTTTTTTTCTCCCTTAGCTTGGCAAAGCTGCCTATTTTCTCTATGTCACTTTCTCTAAAAAAACGGGGGGGGGGGTCACTGGGGCTATCCGTGGTGATGCAGTGGGTAAGAATCTGCCTGCCAATGCAGGGGACGTGGGTTCAATCCCTGGTCAGGGAAGACTCCACATGCCACAGGGCAACTAAGCCCGTACGCCACAACTATTGAGCCTGTGTGCTCCAGAGCCCGTGAGCTACAACTACTGAGCCCACACACAACTACCAAAGCCTGTGTGCCTAAAGCCTGTGCTCCACAAAAAGAGAAGTCACTGCAAGAAGCCCATGCATCCCAACTAGAGAGTAGCCCAAGAAAGCCCTAAAAGCAGCAACAAAAGACCCAGCATAGCCATAAATAAATGATTTTTTAAAATGGGGTCAAGATCAATTAATAGGAATAAACAAGTAATAAAATGAGATAAAATTAAAATGTATATTAAAATTAATAGTAACTCTGCTGGCAAACAGCAGCCTGTACAGACTCATGCAAAGCATGAGAACATATCAAGAGGGAGTCCACATGCTGCCTGATGTATTCTAACTCAAATGATCTTTGGGTGACATACAGCTTCAGGGTTTGACTTCAGGAAGGGATTACTTAAGATTCAAACAACTGAGCAAAATATCCACCAGCACCACCCTTATCCTCCTAGTTCATTTGGTTCAGGAGCATTCTGCACATGCAGGCAAGAACCCTTACATGCCCTAACTCTCAGGTTGCTGTTCCTGAAATAAAACACGGTCCGAGTCTGTTTCACTCTTGGTGGTCAGAAAGCCCTAGTGGTTGCTAACACATCTCCACCTACATTTTTAGTCTGGGACAGGAGGTGGCAAGTGGTGGGAGAGAGAGCAAGAGTGAACAAATCCTAAGGCTATTTGAATGCTGCCACATCCCGAGGTAAGGAGGGGTGAGAGAGTTCCTTTAGCAGCAAGTGTCTTTGATAAGAGTACCCTGGACACCCTGGAAGGAGTTGGAGAGAGGAGCAAAAGAGGCTGATGGTGGGGGAAAGGCATGTAGGGGCTCAGCCTCTGAGCCTCTGGAGGATACAGCCAGGCATGGTAGCTAGAATAATCTTGTTTCCACATTAGCAGCCTGCAGTGTTACAGGCATGACTTGGAGTCATCCATACCTGGGATCAAATGCCAGACCCACCAGTGACGAGCTCTTAATGATGCCAAAATAGTCTAATCAGCTATTGAGTAGCTGCTGTATGCCAAAAATTTTATTAATCAGTTTAAGTAATACCAACTTCAAAGGGGATAGATCTATACCTCTATGGTCAACTGATTTTCAACAAGGATGCCAAGGTCTTTAAAGGGGAAAGAAAAGTCTTGAATAAATGGTGCTGAGACAACTGGATATCCATATGCAAAAGGATATGAAATCCCCCCTTCATATACAAAAATTAAAGCAAAATTGACCAAAGATCTAAATGTCAGAATTAAAACTATAAGACTCTTGGAAGGAAAAAGATATAAATCTTCAGGTCCTTCAAAGAGACAATGGCTTCTTACCTATGACACCAAAAAGCATAAGCAACAAAAGAAAACAACAGACAAACTGAACTTCATCAAAATGAAAAACTGTTTTGTGTTTCAAAGAAATGGGAGAAAATACTTGCAAATTACATATCTGATAAGGGTCCAGCATCAAAATATATGAAGAAATTACAATTCAATAATAAAAAGACAAATAGTCCAATTTAAAAATTGACAAAAGATTTAAATAAACATTTCTCTAAAGAAGATAAGACAAATGGTGGATAAGTACATGAAAAGATGCTCAACACTGGTCATTAGAGAAATGCAAATCAAAACCACAATGAGATACCAATTCACATCATATAGGATAGCTATAATAAACAAAAAGAAAAATAGTAAGTGTTGGTAAGGATGTGGAGAAATTAGAAACCTCATTGCTGGTAGGAATGGTTTAGTCTCTGTGTAAAAAAGTTTGGCAGTCCTTTGAAATTTTTTTTTTTTTAGTCCTTTGAAATTAAACACAGAGTTACCACATGACCTAGTGATTCCTCTCCTAGATATATACCCCCCAAATTAAAAACATGTCAAAAAACCCCACAAAAAACATATGTCCACACAAACTCTGTACATGAATCTTCATAGCATTATTCATATTGGCCAAAGCAGTAAATAAAATGTAGTACATGCAAATCATAAGTGTTTGACAAAAAAGGGGAAATTTGACAACATGCTCCAACAGGGATATGGCTTGAAAACATTCTCAAGTGGAAGAAGCCAGTCATAAAAGATTATATGTTGCATAATTCCATCTTATGAAGAGTCCAGAATAAGCAAGTTGATAGAGACACAAAGTAATTAATGGTTGCTTAGACCTAGAAAGGATAAGAGGACTGTGGGAAATGGCTTAATGGACATGGTATTTCTTTTTGAAGTGATAAAAGACTTTCTAAAATTGATTTGTGGTGATGACTGTACAACTTTGTATATACTGAAAACCACTGAACTGTACACTGAACAAGTGAATAGTATGGTATGTGAATTATACTCAGTAATCCTAACATGTCTTTTAGTTTGTATTAATAGGAGCTAACCTATTTGCAGAAGCTGCAAACTGGCAAGTGATGGGCAGCATCTGGGTTGCACAGATGTTTTACAAGGACTGACACAAATCTAAGCAGACGGTAAACAACTGGCAGTATATAAAATTCACATTTCTAGCTTTTCTTGAAAATCAGATCTAGCAAGTCTAACAAGTAACTTTTAAAGCTGGGAAAGAAACATAAATGAAAATGATGTTCAAATACATGATAGGATATTCCTTCAGTGGTCTAAAGTAAATCAGTTTAAGTCACTAGAGCAACTCATTCAAAATGAAGGAAAACTTCTAATACGTGGAGCTATCTTAAATGAAATAAGTGGCTTTGGGAAGTAATATGTTTCCTATCACTGTATATATATGAAGTACTGACATGTACTATAATATGCATAAACCACCTGGCACAACCATTTTATAGTTAGGATAAAAGCCCAATATCCTTAATAGAAAGCCACCTTAACGTACCTGACAAGGATCTTCACTACCCATTCTACTCCAGGAAATGCCTCAGGACTTTTCAACCACCTGAAAATGGAGAAGTAAGAGATCAGTATTTTGAAGAGGAAGTTTTAAACACATACAAAATAAAAGATAGAGATCCTGCATGCAGTTTACACATTACAGGAGAGAAACATGCAACTTTAAAGAAATTTTACGTAATATTTCATTGTGAATATCAATACGGGGACCTAATAGGGGATAATCCTTGTACATTTTAAAATAGCTGAGCAGAAAACTTTACTTTGGGGAGCAGCAGATCTAAACTACAGTCATTGAAATTTTACAATGTGTCATTTAAGATGTCAGACTTTGTGCCCAGGTTACATTACAGTTCACTTGTGATGGGCAGGATTATTAAGAGTTATGGCTAATTTATGCGGCAGCATATGGTTTTTCTTTTTACAGCTATTTTTATTAAACAAGTTTTGCAAAGTTTTAACATTAAAATTAACAGCTAAAGAATTGTTTATGCAAGTTGCTGTCACAGTTTATGTAAAAGAGAAATATGTGCTATTAAAATCAGACATTTAGGTTACCTTTGGTTTTTTGCGATGCATGTTAGCTTTACACATCCTGATTCTCTTGCGATAATTTTCCTTTAAAAAGGGGGGTATAGAGTGATCTCTTTTCATCAAAACAAGACATAATGCCCTGAAAGCTGACTTCAAACCATGGTTGAAAATTCAGTTATTTACACTTTATCACAATCTACAAATACATTTTTTTTTGTTGGTGTGTTTTAAAAAGAAAAAAAAATGTCCATCATGCACTGCTGCAGGCAGCTTGGCACTTCATACAAGAGGATTTTTCACCCCCGAGCAGTTTAGGTTGCTCCCTTAGGGAAGGTATGGGAACCCTAAGAATTAATGTAGAGGAGCGGAAACAGGGTCAACCAATTCCATCATTTCCTCTCTTGGTCTCAGAAGGTTCAGAGCCAGGCTTCACACCAGATCCTGCCCCAGCCCAGTTCTTTTATTAACAGCATTTCTGGGATTGGAAGGGAAACCCTTAAGGGCACCCAGGGTTTGCTGAATTGTCATCATCTAAAGACAAGTGCTATCCCTTTCCAAGCTCACAGAGATGATTTGGTGTCACACTTAGGGCGACCTAGGGGCTCTACAAAAGGTGCAAACTAGGGTGACTGGCACTTTAAATATTGAGGCCTATGTATGGAAACCAATCCAAGTTTTAGCTTAGTTTGATTCTTCTCTACAGAAATCAGAGCTTGTGATAAGGATTGGATAAAACTTCTTTTAACAACTTCCAGGGGGTGAAAAAGCTTTGGTTATTTTTAAACTAAAACTTAACAACTCATAAACTTTTTTTTTGGTAAACTTAAAATAAAATCCCCCCCAACCACTTTTAAGAATGTCTCCAACTTTTAACAAGCCCATTAACTTTAGAGTTAATTTAAGTTTATTTGAAAGAGAAAACTATTTTATTGTCCACCCAAAAAAATGACAATTCATCACATTTACTTTGATTAAAAAAGGACTAAACTTTATTGACAAACTGCTGCAGACATTTTGACATAAGTTTAAGCTACCTATTTAGGCAGACTTACACATGTAGCATTTAATCTTCCAAGAACAAAATGGGAGGACGGTACAAATCCAATTAGGACTTTAACTTATGTACAAAGTGGATTTTGATTCCTTTTTCATTCAGCTGCAGTGTCCCTTTTTATATCATGCTAGTGTTGAGACATACTTGACTAACTTCCTTGGGAACAGTTCAATATTGACAACCGTCAACTTAAGGATATCATCAGCTTTTGGCCCCAGTGTCCAAGTGAGTTTTTCATGGAGTGTAGGATCTCAGATGGACAAAATACTTTGTCTTTTGAAATACTGAAATGTTCATTATTAGAATTACTACTGAAAGGTTGTTCATGACTAAAAAGCTCTGCATCAAATTCAATTCAAGTGGCCAGCCCCTCTCCCCAAATCAACCTCTTTAGAAACTACTTCCCGCTAAGTATCTCTCAACACTGTATGTCTGGGGCTAGATTTCAAAACCCACATAATGAAAAATTCAGTTTTACGAACCTAATTTTGTTTTGTTTTTAAATCAATTAGCGTTAAAAATTGCATCAACTATTTAATTCATTAGGATCTTTCATATTAAAATTTAACCTTAAGATTCAACCGCCATGTGCTTTTTTATATAAAGGAAACATTTTTAGAGACATCTGAGCTCACTTTTACATGGTGGCACCTACTGCCGTTAACATTTGTGATTTTAAATCTTAAACAGCCCTGAATTTTGAAATGTAGCCTAGTTTGGGATTCTGCAACTACAACTTTACGGGATGCCTCAAATCAAAACTAAGAGAAAGTTAACAAGCCTTAACTTCAGAACCTTTAAGCAAGCAATGTCACTTTTGAAACTAACAGGTTTGTGTGTTTTTTTTTTACTCAACTTCTTTTTTATTATAAAAGGTACATTTCTGTTTATATTTAAACAACAAAGAAAAAAGCATCTACACACTTAAAAAATTAATTCGATATTCCTAAATCTATTTTAACTCATTTTAAAATACTACATACAGAAGCCAGAATGCAGAGTTAAGAATGGAGTAAGGTGGGGAGAAGAAGGGGACCACGAAGAAAAACACTTAGACAATTACTTGTCTGTTGTGGGTAAAGCAACAGGAATCCTGGGAGATACAAGAAATCAGTAACAACTTTGCTCATAACTGATATTTTCCCCTCATGTTTGTTTTTAATAACGTCCATATGGGTGCTCTCTGTATGCTCCCTTCACCGGCCTAGCTGGAGGGGCCTTCAGTGACGGCCTGGTCCCATTCCAGTCATCTTGGCCTGTGGGGAAAAGCAAGAACAGTTTATAAACCATGTGCCAATGGCATTTTGGAATGGGCAGGTGTAGGTCAGTTGGTAAAGATCACCAAACATGCTGCTTTGCTTCCAATGCCTTGCCACCTCCTTTGTGGTTCTTACTTTTTTACTTTGCTTGGCCCTCCCTCCCAAGCAGCTTAGGCAACGTCCCGGGTACAGGGCAGTTCTGAGTGGAAGGCCAGAAGGAAACAGCTCAGAAAGGACTTGGGGTGATGTCCAGGAAAGAAGCTGTCCACAGGCAACATGCATGATCTATACTCCAGCCCCCAAACCTGGGTAAACCCAACACCTTGCTACGGACAGCGAGGAAATCAATCTCACTGGGGCTGCAATGCCCTTTCCTATTTTCAAAGAAGGTCAGGAGAGAGCCTCAAGTACGGTGACAAGCTCTGGAAGTCTCCCAGATTGGAAGCGACAGAGGCAGCTCCCTCTCCATGTGACAGCAAGTCAGATCTGCCCGTGGAGAAGGATCCTCTGGCTCCCCGGGAAGAGCAAGCAAGGGCCACGCTTCAAGAACCTTCCACCAGCACAGCTGGCCCACTGCTCTGGCGGTGGGAAGTACAATCAAATGTGTCAACAGCACTCATTAGGAGAATTCATTATCTCATTTTTGTGGAATAGTCCAGAAAAGCTAGACAACATGACTGCTATCCTCAAATGGTTTTCCTTTGTGATGGGGAAAAGCCTATAGCAAAAACAATCATGTACTTTTAGAGTTGACCTCTCATGAACACGAGTTGTGTTTCTAAGTTTATTCTTTCCGCTCACCCCCAGACTTTATCCAGTCCTGTTATTTCTCTAGCTGCTTGAATTCACAAACATCTGCTTCCATCATTCTAGGTCTAAAACCCCTACATGGATGTAAAGTTGCTATCTAAGCCTGTTTATACCTCTAGTACAACAGATATGTCCATCACTTTCTAAGTGACTTCTGGGTACCAATAAGACAGTATATTTTTCTACTCTGTTTATAAAGGCAGAAATCAGAACAGATTAACCCTGGCAGCATCATACCAGGAGCACAAGGAGCAGCCTGCCTGTTTCAGTGCAGTCTTTTTTCTAGCAAAACAGAAATGTAATTTAGTCAAACACTTACAGAGGTTCCACTGTACTGCTCACGGATGATGGGAAATACCCTGGGGCAATCATACCACCCTTCTAAACAGTGGCATATGAGCAGAGCAGTGCAGTGTTACAGATGGCAACTGTCCAGGACCATTTAGCTAGGGCTGGTAAAAACTGTTCCCCTGGACAAGCAGCTTACTGGCTGCTACATACTATGCTGAGGAGGTGAGGAGTCTATCTGTGGGAACCTTAAGAGGCTCTTTCCTCTTTTCAGTAGGTATAAGGGAGAATGTCAACTACTATCTTAAATTGTCAACTGCTGAGTCCCTTGCCAAGGTCTCTGGACTTCCCACAAGTATCCTGGAAACACCTCCTATTTAAAAGGCTGCTCTCTCTGCATCTCCTGCCACATGGCACTCCCTCTGGGGCCCATTATCACAGGGCCATAACTGGCTCCTGAGGATACTTCTTGAGCAATGTGTTTTCAACCAGGCCTCAGGAAAGGCAGTTTGGTCCTGCTGCCATTCCAGCATCTACAGCAATCTTGGAATTAAGGACTAAGTTGAGATGTATCCAAGACAGTAAGGAAGCTGAACTGTCTCAAACTGGCTCCAGTCCCCAGTTTCTAATCTAACAGGCACTCTTCTTGCTCTCAAACTGCTCTAGTCATTAGGGCTCTTTCACCGAGCACTTCTTCTACACTGAGATGCTTTACACTGAGATCCAAAATTGTTTTTAAAAATGAGGTGGGTCAGAAAAGTTGCATATGATTCCATTCTTATTATCCATCAATGTGGCATAGGTATCTTGTAGCAAAGGCTCAGCAATATAACGCAGGTCTAGCCATCTCCCAGCCTAAAGCAGAAACAAAGTCAGCATCAGCCGAAAAGCCTGCTGCTCCAACCAGCCAACACGGACCTTAGCACTAGTTTAGGACATCCGCTTAGCCAGCCAAGAGTAACAGCACACCTAACCCATTTCAATAGTCTTTCTTTCTGCTACATACCACACGATTTAAATAAGAGCAGGTTCTAGTGTCACATCAACATGTTGATCTTTTAATGAGGTTTCTCCTTAGGTGTATGACTGCCTGACCCCCAATAATCCAGTCACCAGCCTTCTCCTGGGCACTTACTTGCACATTTTGTCCCACCACAGAAATAAAGACATACCATATGCTTCATAAGAATCTTGAACCTCCCCATGTCCATAGTCATAATATTCTGAGTCCCTGAAAGCCAAAGACAGAGCATTAAGAGCTATGCAGCAACCATGTTCCAGTTTTACCTCTCCCCCAAATGCTTCCATATGTCAATCATCTTACTGAGGGTGCAAAGCAAACCAAAAATGTTCATTCCACCCCAATCTCCAGACTGTAGAATATTTCCAAAACATGTATATACTAGATACTCATTTAAAAATTATGACAACTTCAGCAAAGAAAAATGAATAGTACACAATTTAAAGTGAAAAAGCTCAACCCAAAAGCTCAGTGTTAACCAGTGTACACACATGCATTCACATGGTTCACTGGAAGAGAATAAGCAAATATGAAAAGAACTGTCCTGTCCCCACTGCAGAATTATGAGAGGCCTTTCCCATCACAGTTAAGATACATATATACACATACACAAAAAAATGCTTTTTAAAAAAAGAGCAGAAAAGAACCTGAGTTAAGTAGTGGGAATCTAGTACCCTTTTAAACTTCTATGCAACTTTAATGTAGTTGTGACATTTTAAAATAACAAATCAAAAAAATTTTAAGGCATTTTCCCTTTGTTCCCATGTAGTCACAGCTAAGGAATTTTTCATATGCTAACCTCAGATTCTACATTATAATTTAAGATTCACAGTTATCCAAATCTGCAGATCCAAGTGTGTGCCTTACAGATGTTAAAAGCAGAGGCGACACGCTGAAAAGGTGAGCCATCTGCTCCTTAGAATTGTGCTGCCTAAATCTCTCAGTTCCTCCAACTCCCTCTATATCCCAAGGACATGAAACAGCACTTCCACTGCCTGACTCACCCTTGGCTCTGGCTGTAATAGCCTTCGTAGCCTTCATAACTCTGTTCTGCGTATGTATCATCATATCCCTAAAACAAAATAAAATAGAAAAAGTCAGAATCACACAAAGTAGGTAAGGTAATATGGAGGGTTTCTGAATGAACAGAACATGGAATTTCCCTCCGAAGTATTAACATCTGTTGCGGAACAGTCAAGAAAGAAAGAATTAAAAAAAAGAAAACGATTAATCAAATTAAAAAAACCCTTTCAGCTTGGGCAAAACAAGGTTCAAGGTTGAACTTAATCAGCATTATCAGTAGTAGTAGGGGGAGTCCCCTTAGTAAAACACTAAACATCAAGGCACAGCTTATTTCCTGTTTCATCTACATATGTATACAGTAAATCATACTTAAAATGGAAAAATCTTCTCTCATAATTTAACAATCACTGCAACAGAAGAGGGCAGATTCTAAACCTTATAGGCAGTTCCTGCCACCTACATCAAGGGCCAAGGCCCTGTGACTCAACTTCCTGTGATGACCTGCTAGCTGTTAAGAAATGGCACATTGTCCAAACATCTTACATATTCCTCATATGTCTCTGGCGCAGGCGGTGGAGGCAAAGGTATTCTCTGGATGCCTGCTGTCCGTGCTCTTGGAGCTGGAGCACCTCTCACAGTAGGCGGGGGTGGCACTCCTCGAGTCACAGTGGCACCTCTGGTGATGGCTCCTCTCACTGGTGTACCACGCACTAAAGCCCCCCGAGGTGGCCCAACGCCACGGCCCCTGCAAAAAAGAGTTTATTTCTTTTAAAGAGTTTATTTTAAATGGATATTTTTAATAAATAGGTCATGTTCAGACTTGTCTTAAAATTCTGGAGCTAGGTAGGAGATTTTATGACGCCTTCAAAACAGAGGAATGGGGACTTCCCTGGGGGTCCAGTGGTTAAGGCTCAGTGCTGTCACTGCTGTGGCCAGGGTTCAATTCCTGGTCCTAGAGTTAAGATCCCACAAGTTGTGCAGCACAGCCAAAACAAAACAAAAACACAGAGGAATGTGTAGGTAGGTAAAGGACCCATTCCGGAAGGTTCCCCAGGCCCAAGGTGGACATGCTAACATATTATTAGTGGAGAATCTCTCTGAAGAGTCTGAATAGTCCATAAAGGTCAGTCAGCAAAGGTAAAATTCTAAAGTCAGAGACCATTTAAAAATGATGAAAACTGTTCAAAAGTTAAAAAAAAAAAAAAAAAGTTTCAGCAGGACTGCTGCACCTGCTTACAGCCAAAGTAACCAAGATCTAAAATTCCACTTTTTTTTTTTTTTTGCTGTTCCGCATGACTTGCAGGATCTCAGTTTTCCTGACTAGGGACTGAACCTGGGTCACAGAAGTGAACGTGCCAAATCCTAACTACTAGGCCACCAAGGAACACCCTAGAACTCCACTCTTGATGCAACATACACATCCGGAGACCCCTTCTAAGCTGGAAATAAGAGCAGCAGTAAGACAGACATGGCACTAGCAGTCAAATTTACATCCCATTTCTAGCTGTCTCTTTTTACCTGGGAACAGGTGGAGGAGGAGGTGCAGCTCCCCGGCCTCGCACTGGCACCCCACGTCCACGGGAGGGCTCTGGTACTCCATTCAAGTAGGAAAGCTCTAGAAATTGCTCCTGGCAGATATCATCCATCATATCCTGTGGATAAAAGATAATGAGAAGGAGTATTGTGCAACATCTCTACCTTCTGCTGAGAAGTCATCTAGCCCACATGAGCCTTGGATACGAAGAACAACTTTGAAAGCCCAGATGAAATCTCAGATTATTCATTCTCTGAAGTCAAATGGCACGCTACCTGTCACCTCTTTGAGGAAAATCTTGATGGTAGGCCCCTCATCATTCAGATGAAGTTCTTCATGATGTGGTCCCTGCCTAGCTCTCCGATCACTTCCATCCTCTATCCATGTATAACCTCCTTTCAAGCCATGCTGAACACCTGCAGTTCAGAACATGGCATACTCATACACATCCATTCTTGCAAACAGTTTCCTTTTCCTGGAATAATAAAAGCCACTACCATTAATTAAGCTCTACAGCTGGGTACCATATAATAAGCCTTACATAGGGTTTTCAGTTTAATCTTCAAAATAATCCTGAAGTAGGCAGATCTTCCCATCTGGGAAAACAGATTCAGAAAGCATAAAGCAATCAATATAAGGACAGACATAGAGCTAGTGAGTGGCAGATTCTATGTTAATTCAGAATTACTTATCTCCAAAATCTAGTCTCTGAATCACTAATGTCTCAATTAATCAATATATTATTGCCTTTTTGGGTCCACCTGAAGGACTCTAATTCTTACACGATTTAATCAAAAGTATTACCTTACCTCTTTTGAAAAACTTTCTCAAAAAAAAAGAAAAAGAAAAACTTTCTCTTGATGGCAGCTCCTCACTCCTCTTTTCCCACGGCACAATGTAATTTTCTCTAAGCACTTATCACATCATTTTAAAAACATCTATCTGTCTTTCTCACTAGGTTATAAGCTCTTCAAGAGCCATTTCTGTAACTTCAGACCCAAGCATAGTATTCAGCACCTACCAGATACTTAACAAATATTTGGGATGACAAGGAAAACTGAGGCTCAAAAAAGTGATTATCCAAGATGATTCAGACAAAGCGCCTAGCCCAGTGCTCTTCCTACTGTACCAGTTTCTAAGGGGAAAACAGAAGGCTCTGGTCATGGATGCAAAAATAGGCTCATTTGTTTTCTTCACAAGGAGGAAGAACTGAGTCAAATGTCATTTGTAAATCTTCTCATATATTTCCTGATGAGAGTCATTCAGTCTCAATACTTAGTGCACTTTTATACATCCCAGGTGTATACACCTTCTAGAAGATTCTAGTCGCCACAGAGATGCTCCCTCTACCCCATGACTCTTCACCTCTTCCTACCTTACACATTTCTACTGCTTGAGACTCACATTAAAGAATCAAGTGACCAATGATGGGCCATTTGCTCAGATTTCTCTAGCTGCCATAGCAACACTGAGGAAACCCAGATCTCCTTGGTAGGCTTCTTTTTTAAAGACCCACTTACATGGAAGCCTTGAGATGTAGCTCTTTTCAGAAATATGCTGAGATTAATGATAAAGAGAAGATGGGAATGCCTCTGCAGTTCTTCAGAAAACGGATGACTCAGAATACTTCAATACACACCTCAAAGAGTAAAGAAGTCCCTCAAGGGAAAATTTAACCAGCTCTGAGTTTTTTCTAGGATATTTTAAATATGCTGTTTCAAGTTGAACATTCTAATGACGACATACTTAGAAGCAGAGCAGCTGCTTAGACATTTGAGACAGTGCTGGAATCCTTGGAGCTCAGCATTATAGAGACACACTGCCTATAAATTTTTGCTCTGCCAATTCTCACATCCTCTGACAGTTCCAACTCCCTCATTTTACATGTATAAGAAAACCAAGAAGTATGTATCACCTCTTCTCAGTGATGAAACTATAATGCTTACTCAATTCTAGTTGAATAGTACTCCAAATGCTTCCTAAGGTTCCAGAGTCATCTTTGGTTATTAAATATTGAACAGTAAGTAGTATGTTAACTCTGAAAACTACCAGGTCTTGTCAAAAGGCAGAAAGTCATCATTTCCTACTTATTCAAAGAATGACCAGGTGGAAATAAGGAAGACAGGTAACCTGGTCTGTTCTAACTCTTCCAAGGCCTTAATTACATTCTGAAAGAAGCTATACACCAATCTGTTTAATGTCATCAACAGTTAAGCCTACAACCATCATGCCTCCTTCAAATCAACTTTACTTGAGTAAACTCCTCCAGGATACAGTCTTGAATGCACCCAGGTCAGAATTTAACCCACTAACACTGGAGGCCAGATAACACTTCTTGCTGCTTATCATCATCTAGACTCTCAGGAGTCTATGCTATAACTCCTTAAGTGCAGGGGGTTACAACCACCTTCATCATTTTCTTATCATAACCTCCTGGTTCCATACTAGCACCAAAATACTTAATTTATTGAAGACCTTGTTAAATCTTTGTTAACCAGATGTTAGAATGCAAGGCACACTGTAGATCCAAGATATTGACAAAAGATACTGGCATACAACTAAAATCACATCAGACCAGGAGTGGTAGAATGGCCTCGGGGCACAGTGGTTTGAGAACTAGGTACATGTAATGAACTACCTCAGAAAAATGAACATAAATGAAGAATTGGATATGCAATTTCAGGTTATGCAGAGACCCTGGTTAAGAACCCCTGCCTTAGCAATAAGCACAAGATCCCAGTTTCTCTTGCTCAAATGATACAGGATATGGATTTCCTTACTGGTACTAGAAACTTCTTGACTTCCTCCATAGCATGGGCCATAAGAGCATAAGCCTCACATGGGGGTCCAAAGACTTCAATGAAGACATGCAGATCCATATTCAAGTGGGCATATTTGGGGTCTCCACCTTTGCGCAACTCTTCCTCCTGTGGAAAAATGCACAAAAACATCATTATCATTTGGACTATGGAGAAAATGACACCTTTACCATTAGGCCAAAGGGACAGTAAGAAATGACTCCAACACCTAAAAAAACCCCAGTAAAGTGCAAGAAAAAAGTAAAACAAACTCTGGAGTATAGCAATTTACACAGTCTGCTAAACCTGCAATTGGTCTGCTGCTAAAAGCTAACCGTTGTTCTGAATGGCTGGTGTATTCATGGGAGCTCTTATTAGAAGGTACAGAAGAGACAAACTTAATTCCAGTCTCCACTCAGATAACAGCTGTTTGCCAAGCATCCATCCATTCATTCATTAATTGCCAAGCATTTGCTTTTATTAATAAATCCCAGGTAGAGCTGTTAATCACCAGCTCTTCTGATCTGCTTGCATAGAGAAGGAAAAAAGTCAGGACAGAGAGAAGAAAATTTCATGTACACCTCATTAAATAGAGTCTTATACTTCAGCTCTAATTGTATTCATCCAGTGAGAAATGTTGGGAGGAAAAAGAAGAGGGTCTGAGAAAATGTTCATCAATTAGGCTGCATACAAGGAGGCCTGAAACAGTAAGTTTTTAGGCTGGAGCAGGTTATGTCTCATCTAAAAAGCTGATTCTAGAAAGCTAAGACTATTCTATTTTGGTGGGAAGTTTCTCCACACTTAGAAACTCTGAGTATAAAGAATACGGGGCTATGGCATGGGAAAAAATAAGCTCTGGATTCTATTGTCAGGATTACTCATGGTTCCTTCTGTAACATCTTCTTTTAGCACGCCTCACATTCCAGCTGGCTATAAAACCAACCAGCCAACTAATCCTCAAACTCACCTGCACTCACAACACTACTGCTCACACTTTTCCACACTAACTGGAAACAGAATGCTGTTCACATTTTAGTGTCTTTAGTCTGGGTTTCAGTACATTCAGCCTCCCCTTCCAAGTTTTCCTAGATAAACTTATTAAGGCCAAAGCTGCTACTGCTATTTCCATTACTACACAGTGAAGTCAGAAAGAAAACAATTACCAGGGCATATCAAGGTTCTTCTGGGGTTGCCAAAGTAAATTAACTGGTCTATAATCTCTCACATCCCATGTAAATTTAAGGGAATCACTTTCAGTACACACATAAGAACTAGCTTCCATAAGGTATCCATACTGGACTCTAGGCTACTGGAAGGCATTAGGGTGTCTTCTTGCCTCATTAATATGAGCTTACCTTGGCTTTGTCTCTCATCGAGCCCTTTCCCAACACAGAAATCTTTGCACCAGTCTCCTCTTGCAGTCTTTTGATTGTATTTCCTTGTGGTCCAAGGATCTTTCCCACAAAATTGAACTGATAGAAAATAAAGACAGATTTCTAAATGTATATGTTCCTATAAAATATTTCTACATGTATTATTTATCTTCAATAATCCTGTAAAGTAAGTAGAGTACTAACCATTCCCATTTTACTGAAGGATATACTGAAGTGGTACTGATAAAATTGATTAGCCAAAGGTTATACAATTGGAAAGAGGCTTCCTGGGTGGCTCAGGAGTAAAGAATCCATCTGCCAATGCAGGAGATGCGGGTTCGATCTCTGGGTTGCGAAGACCCCTCGAGGAGGAAATGGCAACCTATTCCTGTATTCTTGCCTGGAAAATCCCAGGGGCAGAGGAGACTGGCAGGCTACAGTCACTGGGGTCACAATGAGTTGGACATGAGTGAGCAACTGAGCATGGCATGGCACAAAACTGCAAAGTGGCAGCTCTAGAACTTGAATTTCCTGATGCAGTGTGGGGCTCTTTCCATATCATCACACTGCAGCTCTTTGTAATTTAATAAACACAGACGTTTTTAAGGCAGTTACTTCAGAACAGAACAGACATATGGTACCCTTTGGTAGTACTGGTCTGACTGACTAAAACTAGTTGTTTTCAAAAAAAACAAAAAGGAGTAGTAGAAACCATTTATTTAAAAGTGAAACTTTGGGAATTCCCTTGAGGTTCACTGGTTAAAACTGTGTGCTTCCACTGCAAAGGTTACAGGTTCCATTCCTGGTCAGGGAACTAAGATACCACAAGTGGTACAGCCCAAATCAAAAACAAATAAGAGCAAAAAAACTTTGAGTAAGAAATAAAATTAACTTATTCATTGTGTCACAAGGATTTGTGTTGTATTTCCTTCATTTAAACTTCAGCTCAATCTTTTGACAAAGAACAATTAGGGTTCAATTTTTTTCCTTTAAACTTGGAAGCTAAACAAACATTTGAGAAGGAAATTCCTTTTTTTATAATAAAAAGATGATCATATTTCCTTCCTGGCTATAGCTATGCTATCAGTTATGGACCTGTATTTTCAACTGCTAGATACAGTCATTACAAGTATGGGACAGAACCTTTACCAGGTTCACAATCTCTGTAAATCTTTTGTTACAGCCTGTCCTACAAGACATACCACATACTATATACTCCCATACTACAAAAACAACTCAAAGAAATGAGGCACTCTTTCCCTTACCTTGGGATACTGCTTGACAGGTATCAGAACCCTCTCCTTCAGCTTCATGTTCTTGTGAGAAAATAAATCCAAGTAATTCTCCTCATCGTCCTTTTTTGAATCCCCTTTCTGAATCTTCTCAATTTCTGAATAGGACAAACAGAAATTTAATTTAGTTTTGTTCTTTTAAATAAAGGCAAAATTCTGAGTCTACTTAAAGCCGTAAGATGGAATACTGTGTAATGAGGCCAAATATTAATGAACAGTTCAGATGAATAGTGCCTTAATTTTAAATAGAGACAGCACCGAAGCTAGATGAAGTTGACTAGGAAACCGAAAGCCTGCTTCTTTTTATTTATTTGGATGTGTTGCCTCTCAGTTGTGGCATGTGGATGATCTTTGAGTCATGTGGGATCCTTCACTGCACATGACTCTCTAGTTTTTTGGCTTGCAGGCTTAGTTGCTTCACCACATGTGGGATCTTAGTTCCCTGACTAGGGATTGAACCCACATCCCCTGCATTGGAAGTCTGGAGTCTTAACCACTGGACTACCAGGGAAGTCTCAAAGCCTCCTTCTAATAAGGGTAGTTTGCTCTTCCACTTTCACCTGAAACCGCTACAAAGACAGTCAAATGTTCTTAAGAACAGGCAGGAGTGACATGAGGAAATGGGGATTAAACAAACTGGAAAAAATTAAAATCTGCATCAAGAAAAAGTACAAAACCATATCTTTCTTCTTCTTCTTCTATTCACTTATTCTGGCTGCACTGGATCTTTGTTGCTGCACCTGGGCTTTCTCCAGGCATGGTGAGCGGGGGCTGCTCTCCAGTGGCAGGGCTTGTGCTTCTCATTGTGGTGCTTCTCTTGCTGTGGAGCACAACCACAAGGTGAATGGGCTCAGTAGTCGTGCTGCACAGCCTTAGTTGCCCTGAGGCAAGTGGAATTTTCCTGGACCAGGGATCAAACCCATGTCCCCTGCACTGGCAGGTGGATTCTTAACCACCAGACCACCAGGGAAGACCCTAAAGTTCTATCTTAATGAAGAGACAAAGTTAATTTAAATACACAACTGAGAGTCCTATTAAAATTTTTAACAGTAGTGCTTTGGATAGTAGTAGTCCTTAAAAGTTTGAAAGACCTGGGTTTACTCTGCCACTCACTAGTTGTGTGAATTCTGAAAAGTTTAACTGCTCTGATCTTTGATGTCCTCATTTGTAAAATGGAGGCAATATCTACTTCAAGAGGTTGCTATAAAGACAGAATAAAATAAAATGCAGGGACTTCCTTGGTGTTCCAGTGGCTGGGACTCCTCTCTCCCAATACAGCAGGGCCTAAGTTTGATCCCTGGTCAGGGAACTAGATCCTGCATGTGGCAATGAAAAAGATATTGTATGCCACAACTAAGACCTGGCACAGCCAAATAAAAAAAACAAAATATGCAAATACGCTAATTAAAGCCCATTTCTTTCTTTCTGCTTTTCCTTTTGGCCATGTAGGATCTTAGTTCTGCCCCCTGCAGAAGTCCGGAGTCTTCATCACTGGACCACCAGTGAAGTCCTAAAAGCACATTTCTTAGGAAGTGTTTTAATAGCTACTTAACGCTCTCTAGCCCAAATTCACTCAGTGTCCTAAAGGAAAAAAATGCACCAAGGTAATTTTAATTCACAGGTTAAGACAGTTTCATCAGCTAGAATCTTAGTATCCCAAAAGATTCCTATCACTAGGGAACTCTATTCATTCATTCAGTGATTCCAAGTGTTTGAGTGCTTCCTATGGTGAGGCACATGAAGGGACAGATACAGGTATGATCACTAAGCACCATGGAAAACTTACTAAGGGCCAGGCACCTGGCCCTGTAAAGTATAGGAAAAACCACACAACCAGTCAGACATGGTCCCAATCTCCACTATGTCTATATACAAGGGGTATACAAAGCTGGCAATGAAGAAGAGTTAACAGCTAACTAGTACTAACAGAGTTAGTTAGTTAGTTAGTACTAACTAAGGAGTACTAACAGAGATGGGGGCAAAGCATGGAGGCAATGAATACCAGCAACTAAGATGTTATACTATGGTCCACTGAGAATAACAAAAAATTTATACGTCCTAAAATCAGTGGAACACTCTAACTAACACAATGTTCTCCTTATACAACATTTCCAGTGTTTCTATCTTCCATATTTTTAAAAACTTTTTGGCCATGCCGAGGGCATGTGGGATCTTAGTTCCCCAAGCAGGGATCCAATCTGTGCCCTCTGCACTGGCAACATGGAGTCTCAACCATGGGACCAGTAGGGAAGTCCCTATCTTCCATAATTTTAAGATAAGGGTTCTCAAACTTCAATATGCAGCAGGATCATCTCGACGGCTTGTTCAACTAGATTGCTGGGACCCAATCCCAGTCTGGGATTGCATTTAGGATTGTGTTAGGAATCTGCATTTAAAACCAGTGACCAGGTGATGCAGATACTGCTGCCCTAAGGTTCACACTTTGAAAACCACTAGTTCAATATAAGGGCTTCCCTTGTGGCTCAGACAGTAAAGAATCCGCCTCAAATGTGGGAGACCCAGGTTCGATCCCTGAGTCAGGAACATCCTTCGGAGAAGGAAATGGCAATCCACTCTAGTATTTTTGCCTAGAGAGTTCCATGGACAGAGGAGCCTGGCGGACCTTCAGTATATAAAGACATAATACTTCAAACACATTCTGCAAATCTAAACCTTTAACAAACTTTTAAAATAATTGTTTAGACGAAATCTAGCCATGATGTACACAGATGAAGGAAAGTTACTAAGACTCACAGAGTTCAGAATTCCAAACTGAAGGCTTCTCTGTTTATTAAAAAACCTAAATTGAGACGTTATACACTATAGAACCGTAAATGACAGTGCTCTTTGCATTCCTACTTTTCATTGCTTGGAGTAGAAAGCAAATTTGACCTTACAATCCACAGACTAAATGCTTCATTCAACACCCTATTTGTTTACTGTTTCACTGCCTGTGTATCCTGACCTCCACCCCTTCCCACTTACTGCTAATATTAACTTTGCAGTCACTGGTTTTGAGCTACCATCTCTGAACACACCTCTTCTAGAACTTCTGGGCTGGTAAACTGGGTACTTAAAATCTTCAAATGTCCTTTAGGAACAAAGATGCCACATTTCAAATCAGAATACACCACTGAGGAGCTTCTAAAAATGTGGAACAAGTTATATACGTCATCTCATCTATGTCTCTGTGTGTTCTAACTGCTGCCATCTACTTAGGCCCTTCAGCTGTACTTTATACCACTTTCCGGAAACTTTAATTGGTCAAAACAAGAAGCTAAGACTCGAAATCTGTTAATCTGTATTCCCACAGGAAGCAGGGCTGCAAAAATTGAACCCAGTAGAAAGGTTTAATATCAATGAAATGTGCCCTGTGAATATAAGGCCTTTCTAAAAGATGGATCTAGGACTTCCCTGGTGGTCCAGTGTTTAAATAAGACTCTCTGATCCCAATGCAGGGGGCCTGGGGTTTGATCCCTGGTTGGGCAACTAGATTCCACACACCCCAACTAAGACCTGGCACAAACAAATGAAAAATAATAAATAAGCAAAAATTTAAAACACAGATCCTTCTGCTATGTTTTGAATGAAGTAGATTTAATTAGGATCCCCTTGTCCATTTACCTTACAATTTAAAAAATAGTGTTAAAGCATTTCTTAGAGAATTTTGAGAACAATGATTTAAATAAAACAGGACTGAAAAGACAAATCAACCAGAGGGTTAACCTAGAAAGCAAAAGAAGCAATTTGAGCTTTCAAAGAGGGTCACCTTCCACTTTTGGAAGGGGAAGGAACAATCCTTTACTCAGTGCCTACAATGCATCAAATTCTATACAAATATGACCCCATTTATACTCACACATTACTGGGTGAAGCAGCTGGTACTATCCCTATCTCACAACTGAAGAGACAAACTCAGAGATGTTAAATCTCAAAGTCAGAAAGCTGCTGAAGTAGTACCCAAACAAGGATTAATGCCCAGGCTTTCTCTAACTTCAAACCTCATGCTTTTATTATTGCCTCTCAATAGGGAGAGGGGGGCACACTTTATTTAAGCAAAACAAGAGCTGATTTTGTAAAGTTTTGGGAAGTTCAGCTTATACCCCCAGACACTGTCATCCAGCTAAATGCAACAAAAGGGCACTATCGACACCTCAGATGTTTTCCGCTGCCTGATCTTTTTCTTTTTCAATTTCTCTCCTTGGTCTCACTGCTTGCGGAGAGCTAACAAGCAGGCTGTAAAGGGAACAGGAAAAAAAAAAGGTGAAGCTTCCTAAAAATGCCTTACCCGCAGGCAAAAGTACTTCTAGACAATCTTTGTGAAACTGACTCCTTTAAAAGATCTTTGCTTGGGTCTCTGGAGACCTTGGATGTCCCAAGAGTCAAAGAAAGAAAAAGTATCCTGTAAACAACACAGAGAGGTGACCCGTTTGGTTCAGAGTCAGATGCTGACCATAATCACTATCTTACCTTTTTGGGTTTCCCTTTGTCTTTATAATGAGGATTATCCTCACTTAACAGGTGAACAAATCCTGCCCAACATCACAAAATTAATGACAGAGCAGGTATTTAAACCCAGGTTATTCTGTATGTCAGTTAGCAAATTCAACCGGACTTGTGGCATTTCTTCTACTCTTCTACTACAACTTAATCTTTCCTTTTTTTGGTAGGCCTTAATACAACCAGACTGTAAGTGCCAAAGGATGAGAACTGCTTTTTAAATGTATATCTGAGAGGAAAGAACCTGAGTTTTGAAGCTAAACAGAACTGGGTGTGAGTCCCAACTCTGCTACATGCTTGCTGTGTGACCTTGGGACAAGCTGTTAAACCTCAGTCTTCCTTCTTACTTTTAAAAAGGAAGATTTTTTTTTTTTAACAGAAAAAAGATTTCATGAACAGAAAAATATTAATACTAGAGAAGTTTGAAAAAATTATATAAAGATTTTATCAACTGGACTGGCTTAACTAAAAATGACTATCATGTACAATCCATTAACTGAACATTTAATAAATGCTACAGAGAGCAAGACAGTCATGCTTTTCTGACTAAGGCAACCAGAGATAGTGTTTCTAGAAGGGCAAGATTCATAGGGTACCT